GCCTTGAGGAACAGGGCTGTGCCTAGGCTTTCCTGAGCCTGCTGTGAATTCCTACCGACCTACCTACCTGAATTACTACTATGATTCTCAATCTCTAGCCCCAGTGTTAAGACATATTTTAAACTACATTCCTTTGAGGCCCAGTAGAAATCTCTGCAGATTTTTTAAACCCTCTTGCTGCTTTGTTACATTTGAGTTATGGCCAAGGGCCATACCTCTGGACTAGCAAATATTCTTACATTATGGCTAAGGTAACACTTCCTTTTTGCTCCTCTTGGAAATGATGCCTTTTTTTTCTTTTTATAAAACAAAGCCATTGACTCAAGCATTAGGGAATGTTATAATAAAATAAGTCTGTGGATACATGTGCACAAGAGAGAGCACACATGTACACACACAAATACAAGTACAGCTTTACAAAACATGGCTGGTCTCAGTGCCCACAAACATGACGAAGCTTCCCCACACATTCACAGAATGTCATATCTGGAAAGCACTCCAGAGGTCTTCCAGTTATTCCAATCCTCCCACCTACCACCTGACCAAGAACCTCTCCACAGCTTCCCCAACAATTTGCTCTATCCATCCAGCTTCTACTTGAAGACCTCCAGTGAGAGGAAACCCTTTCCTTCTAGAGGCACTGTTTGGGGTTTTAGGAAATAATGGTAGAAAAAAGTAAAGGCAGGTTCACTACTTCAAATTCAGGGTAAGCTGTCCTGTATCACTCCCAGGGCTTGGTTTCTGGAAACTGTGAAAAGAAAGATTACTAACCCCCCACCCCGGGTCCCTGTCATTTTTTTGTTATGTGACCTTGAACACATCACCTCCTTTCTGCATCTTAACTGACAAAGGCAGTTGCTGAGCCTAGAACTGCTTATCATTAGCATGAAAATGGAGGTGCCAGCACGTGAAAGGTCCCTTGAACCTTTCAAATGAGGCACTAGGATGACATCTAGCTATTATCTACTTCTGGGTTTGGAATATACTTTACTGAGGGGCAGCTAGGTGGTACAGTGTATAGAGCCCTGGCCCTGGATTCAGGAGGACCTGAGTTCAAATCTGCCCTCAGACACTACCTGTATGACCCTGGACAAATCACTTAACCCTGATTGCCTCCTAAAAAAACCCAAAAAACAGAATATGCTCCACTTAGTTATAAATCTTGGGATCTGGTCTTCCCTACCCAAATAAGACTGAATTGAAACCACCTCAAGGACCTTTCTTAAATCCTCAGGGGAAAAGATGCCATTGCTTCCTTTGCTAAGGCAATCTAATATGCCCTAACTCAGACTGCTGGAAGTGCCTCATGATATCTATGCTAACACCACTGAGTTATCTCAGCAGCTTATTCTTGGGAGGTGTAAGGAGGCAGGGAGGGAGAGTAGCCTTTCCCTGATGGGGTTGGGCCACTTAGGGCTCCAGCTCCCCCTTGCAGGCTTTGGGTCCCAACCAGGCAGACGCTGATTTTCCATTGATGCTTTAGTCTCCCAATTCATCAGGAACCTGGGCAAGGGCTGTGGACTTCTCAGCATGGGGTGGGACAGATGACTTCACAGCCTGACACATTCTTTTTGTCTCTCCCAGCCCATGTACTCAGTCTGACTCTCACAGCCAGTGGCATTTCCGATCCAGACCTAGGGCTCTTTCTCCAAAGGTTCTAGGGAGTGAGATTTTCCTTCTCTACTTCCTTCTGGGTTCCTCCAGGGGAAACCATTTCCCTGTGGAAAAAGGCCCTGGAAAACTCCCTTCCTTTACTCTCTCTAGGAGCATGTGTGCGTGTGTGTGCGTGTGTGTGTGTGTGTGTGTGTGTGTGTGTGTGTGTGTGTGTGCATATGCACACATTTATTTTGCAGCTGCTGAGATCAGAAACTAAAATCTGTTCCTGGCTACAGTGTGTGTGAAATTACAGCTGTTGAGATGGGAGATTGAAAACCTTCTCTGGGGCAGGAAGAATTAAAATGGGAAGTCCAAAGTCAGGGACTAGCCAAGCTCTTAGTCCCACATGGTTCCCCACCCTATTTCACATGTCAGAGAGAGAGGATTCCCAAGTCAACAATGGGCTCCAGCTTTCCCCTCCCTGCTAATGGGCATGCTGGGAACTGGAAAATCCACTTAGATTCTTTAAGGTAGAAACCCTAGGTGACTAATGGTGGAGATGATAGAGCAGGCGTTAGAGATAGAGTGGGGTCATCTACATCTTGAGGGGGAACACCAGCAAAATCTGGTCTTAGGTTTATCATGGAGACTTTTGTCTCATTGCTCCTCCTAAAATAAGCAACGGGAATCTTTGGGTCCCTTAGTTTTTTCCATTTCTACAATGAAGGAGTTGGATCAGATGGCCTCTTCATCTCTCATAGAACTCTGTGTTCTAGAGTTCTGCATTTTTTTCTGATCCCTCCATCTCTGGTCTTCTAGAGAAACGACAGGGCTGATTCACTCTTGTTTTAAAGTGAGGGTGTCCCAGAGACCGATAATTTGTTTATAGGAAAATTCAGCACATCAGTATGGTGGTCTCTTCTCCTATGAGGGGAATTCAGATGGGTTCAACATCCCTTAAGTTTCTTCTGGGGCCACTCTATGGGTAGCTAGGTTCTCTTTGCTGTCTTACAGCTTCACATTCACAACCAAGACCAACTCAGTTGGCCTTAGGACAGTGGATGATGCTGGACTTCCTCCTTTCAGGAGCAAAGGGGATGCTCCTAGAGTACCTCCCGATGCCCGACATTCTGGTTATTTTTGGTGCTCTCTTGAAACTTATATATGAATGTCACTCACTTCCCTTTATCCTGTGAGCCCTGCATGTCAAGGAGCATCTCAGGTCATCAGAAGGGCTCCAAATCCCTGAATCCACTTGGCAGGGCCCTACCATCTCAGGGCCCTCACGGAGAGACCCAGCTGGGCTCAGTCCCCTGGCAATAACTATCTCTGCCTTGAGCATTATTTTGCCAGGCTCATGTCCTCTTTTCCAACTGGGAACTGGGCCCCTCTGGCTGAGGGAGACAGGGAGCCTGCTGGGAAACACCCAAGTTCTCCTTTTTACCCAGTGAGTCAAATCCTACTCCCTCATTCTTCATGACCTGAGGCAATAAAGAATTTATAAGAATAGCTAGCATTTCTATTGAGTTGTGAGAATAGAATGTGATTATGTCTGCAAACCTTAAAGATGCAGAAATGCTAGCCACTGTTGCTATTATTATTATTATTATTATTATTATTATTATTATTATTAACTTTTCTCACTACTCCTTGGCACTAGCTTCTCGATGTCATAGAACCAAATTGGATTTAATCTAGTTTATGATAAGTAATGATTGCAATAATAATGATAGCCAGTATTTATATAGAGCTTCATCTATATTATTTCATTTGCTCCTCACAACTCTATGAGGTAAGTTCTATTATCATCCCCATTTTACAGATGAAGAAACTGAGGCAGAGAGTTTCAGTGACTTGCCCACAGTCACACAGCTAGAAGTAGCCTCCCTTTACAGAGAAGTTTAGGGATTTTCTTCCCTAATTTATGTGTTGTTTGTCTATCCTACTCCCTGAAGACCAAGCATGGCCTACTAAAAAGTACTCTCAAATCCTAAATTTCTCATATTTGCTATCACAGCCTTGCCTCCAGCCAGAGTCTCACCTCTAGTCTAGTAGTATATCTGTTCTAGTTTGGTTGAGGTTTTTTGTTTGTTTGTTTTTAGGTTTTTGGATTTTTTTTTGGTGAGTTGACATTTTTGCAAAGCCCCGTCTCAAAGTTCTTCCTCAAGCTGTAGTAGGAGATATTTAGGTTAAATTTAAGATCATTTCCTTTGATTCTCCTCTCAGTAGAAATGATCAACTGCTCTTCTACCTATATCTTTGTAGCATAGCCCTTAGTGGAGCTAGTCAAGTATAGACTTTCATCATTCCTCTTTACCTCCCTCTAGAGGTCTTTACCAATGGCTCTCTACTGGCCACAATTACTCGAACTTCAGCCAACACTGGTGTTCCCTCCTGTGCTTCAGTGCTTTCTTGGAGACCCGTATTGCCCCCACCTTCAGCTTCAGGGAAACTGTAAAGGACTACATCTAGCAGTCTTAAGTGCCAAATTTATGACTAAATTGCTGTGGCATATAAATAAACTGGTAAACACCAACTGGCATTAATTGCCAAGTTAAATTCTAGCTCCCCCCTCCCCCCTTCATCTTGGCATTGGGGCTGTTGATGTTGGGAAGAGTGACTGAGAATTTCCATCTTTGGCCACCTGGCCTCAGGAAATTGCCTGGATGTTTCCAACTCCAAACTACCCCTTCTTCCTTCCTTTCCTCCTTTTTTCCCTTCTACCTAAATAATCCCAGTGATCTCCTTCAAAGAGGGGAGGGGGGCCACCATGAGGAGAGAAAAGACCAGAACTAGAACCTGAGATGCCAGAACATCTAAGATCTTCCTATCCCTTGGAAGTCTAGTGGAAGAGACCCTAGGCTGAGAATCAGGATATATCCCCCCTGCTTCTTGTGACTTTTGGATGTCCGCTAAGAGTTGTCAGAGAGGACATGTGAGAAGATACAGCCAAACAATAATTTGGAGTTTTTGAACTGCGGCTTCATTGATTAAGTAAGCACCTTCTACCAATACACATCAGCACTTGCTCAGCAACTTGGTCCAAAAGAGTTTCCTGGGGGCACTGAAGGTAAATATTTTGTTTAGAGTCACATGGCCAGAATGAAGCAGACTTGGGATTAGAGCCCAAGACTTTTGACTCTGAGGCCAGTTGTAGGTTGACTCTATCCAAGCCAAAAAGAGTAGACCTTGCCTATTCTTGGCACCCTTGTCTGGGTAGAAATAGGCTATAAATGAACTGACTTCTTGAAGAATCTTTCAACCCAGAGGATTTGTAACTTATATAGGTCAAGGAAGAGAGGTAGTTGGGGATATTTGGGGAAGGTAGAGTCTTTTTTTTTTTTCCTTAAAGTTCCTTCTAACATCTTTATTTCTTCTTTCACTACCCCCTTTCCTCTCTTCAGGACTGTCTGGGAACCCTGCAGATCTGGAGAGACGCAAGCAGGTGTTTGGACAAAACTTCATCCCCCCTAAAAAGTCCAAGACCTTTTTAGAGTTAGTGTGGGAGGCTCTACAAGATGTCACACTCATCATCCTGGAGATTGCAGCAATCATCTCCCTGGGCCTGTCCTTCTATCATCCTGCTGGTGATGAAAATGAGAGTGAGTATCTTAGAACTGGACAAGACCCTAGTTCAGTCCTAGCAGTAGGCGTTTAATATTGGTTATTGATAAACTATCTCCACTTAGATTTTTCCCCCCGTATACCCAGAATGATTAGTTGAGGAAGACGGCTAATTAATTCAGACTGCATCAGGACATTTTGTCCAGTACCCAGGGAGGTCCATTTCTGCCATAGAATTCCTCTCTCTGTCTCATCCTTCACTCCTAGTGACAAATAGAATATTGCCAGTCCCCCAAAGCCCTGCCCCTCAAAGTGCAAGCCCAAGTGCATCATGGGAAGTATAAGCCCAAGCGCTTGGCATCGTGTTGGGCAGAAATAGTCTGACCCCTTTGGAACTCAGGTGGTTATTTGCATGTGACTCGCCTGATATTTGCATAGGCTCACAGCCTGGACTATTGAGTCTCTGGCTCCTTTCGGGTTAATACTGTGGTGGTGCAGGTGATGAGTGGATACCCAAGTCTGGTTTTCTCAGCGGTGCTGGTTCCTCTGCCTGGGAGTCTGCCTACCTTCTTCTACCCTGCCCTATCCCAGCTCTCCCAGAGAGGGTTAGTGATAGCATGAGCTCCCCTTACCATGTCAACAAGGACCTTCTGAGTGACACCCCCTCCTTTCTCTCTCTCCTTATGCAGCAGAGTGTGGGCAATCCAAAGTTAGTGTGACAGATGAAGGAGAGACAGACACTGGCTGGATCGAAGGGGCAGCTATCCTATTTTCAGTCATCGTTGTGGTGCTGGTGACGGCCTTCAATGACTGGAGCAAGGAGAAGCAGTTCCGGGGCCTACAGAACCGTATTGAGCAGGAACAGAAGTTTGCTATTATCCGCAAAGGCCAGATCATCCAGTTGCCTGTGTTTGACGTTGTGGTGGGAGATATCGCCCAGGTCAAATATGGTGAGAATCCCGTGCTGTAGGTACCCCTCCCAGCCTACCTACTTTGTGGGCAGGTAATTTTTGCACCCCATTTCAACTGGAGAAGCAGGTCGAGATCCTGGGATACTACAAGGAGATTGCTTGGGGAGGTTGCCACAATTGGAGGGTTGGAGCAGGAGAGAAGTAGAATGGGACAGGATGGATAAAAACCTTACTTGGGGCAAAGCAACAAGGGTGATGAAGCCAGCATATGGCAGCTTTATATTTCAATTATTAAAATTATCTGAACATTTTAAATTGTATTCTTGTAATCGAAGTCCTAGGTTCAATTGTTTCAGTGAGACACTGACAGCATTCTTAGTGCCATTTGAATGCCCTGGTATAAAATTCTCAGCCTAGTCGTAGATCAACTCACCCTGGTTCTGGTTCTGGTCTTCTCCATTCTCCATTGCTGTTATATACCTTTTATGCTTCATTGCTTGATGGGCAAAATAGTTCTCTCCTTGGTCTCATAGTATGAGAGGGGGTCTAAGAACTATTGAAGGATCTGGGTAGATTATATTCTTCTTTATCAGCTTCTGAATTCAAGTTTAGGGAAGTTGTAAGTCCTTCAGGAAAGGAATAGTCTGAGACCCTACTATGGTGCAATTTTATACAACCTTGCTGCTCTATGGAATAACCAGCATGTTTTTCTGGATCCTGGGGGCAGTTATCAGGAATAGAAATACCCAGAGCCTTTGGAGGTTGTCCCATATTTTGCAGGGACTTTGTCAATCCACTTGCTACCTGCTTATCTGTGGTACCTGCTTATCTAATGCACTTCAGGGAACCTCCATGGGAGAAACACTAGAGCAGAATAGAACCAGGCCTTCCCACATTCTCTTTTTGTCTCTTACGATCGTTCTCCATTTTCTCCTCCTCTCTCCGCCCTCCTCCCTTTTTTTCTTCAGGTGACTTGTTGCCTGCAGATGGGATCCTGATCCAAGGGAATGATCTGAAAATTGATGAGAGTGCCCTAACTGGAGAGTCTGACCATGTCAAGAAGGCTCTAGAGAAAGACCCCATGCTACTTTCAGGTGAAGTGTTGGCTCTTCTACCAGTTCCCCTGTGGCCCCCTCATTCTTCCTCATCACAGATGTCCCCGTTGACCTAACTCTACCTCTTCTTCAGATCGCTGTAACAGTGCCACACAGATGGCTTTATAATAATAGCCAATGGCTAACATTTACATAGCACTGACTGTGTGCCAGGCACAGTGTTAAGGTCTTTACAATTATTATCTTATTTTATCGTGACAACAACTACTCTGGGAGGTAGGTGCTATTATTATCCCCATTTCACAGATGAGGAAACTGAGGCAGACCATGGTTAAGCAACTTGCCCAGGGTCACACAGCTAGTAAGTATCTAAGGCTGACTTCTGGCCCAGTGCTCTATCCATTGCTCTCCTGAGCTGCCTCGGATCTCAGCAAATCCAGCAGCATGGATGAGGTTTCTTTGATTCAGTTACAAAGGGTGGGAAGAGATTACCTAGTCATCTCTCATACCTGCTACCCTGTGGACTACTCCCTTCCACAGTATCCCTACCAAGTAGTCTCATGAAGCATCAATGGAAAAGCACTCCCTGCGAAGGCAGTGCTTGGGTTCAGACCCCAGTTCTGCTGCTTACTGCCCATGTGGACACTGGCAAGTCACTTAATTTTCTTGTACTCCAGATCCCTCCTTCATAAGGTGAAGGCGTGGAGCTAGCTCTTCTCTGAGGTCCCTTTAGTTTCAGTCCTAAGATGGACTTGAGCACTTTCTGAAAAGATTCCCGTGGAGTCCAAAGATGGACCCTGGGATTAGCTAATTTTTGCCCTCTAAGGGCAAGAATATTGAAGGGAGCTGGGTCCTGTGGAGTCTCAATGTTAGATTGCTACACAGAGCAAGGTCGGGGGTACAGAAATATCACCTTTTCTCACTCTTTGCAGGGACCCATGTGATGGAAGGGTCTGGCCGGATGGTAGTGACTGCAGTGGGCGTGCATTCCCAAACTGGAATCATTTTCACCCTTTTGGGGGCATCACAGACTGATAAGGGGAAGAAGGAAAAAACCGGTAAGCCCCACCCAGGTCCCCCAAGCCCCTTGTTGCCTCTTCCCTAGATGGACTAGGCATCTCTGCTTAGATGAGTCAAGTGACTTGAAGACTGTCCTGCTGGTAGACAGCTCGAGTCCAGGGGGCATTCCCTGGACAAGGAACCTGTTGAAACAAGGTTGACAGACCCTCCAAACCCTTTGGAAAAGCAGAGAAGAAACCATTTTGGTACAGCCATCTCTGACTCCCTAGAGAACATTCATGAAAACCAGATCATGCCTACAGGCTTCCTTCCAAACTGGTTGCTCTATGGCTTTGCTTTCCCATGCAGGTGGGTGGAGATGATAGGTTCTTAAAGATTACCAGGCACAAAGATGGCTAGGAGCTCTGACCTCTGCTGCCTGCCTTCTTTTCCCCATTCCCTTTGTCCCTCTTCCCTAACCAGGTCTCAGGATGAACAGTCCAGGCTTAGGGAAAACTCAGGGGAAAAAGGAAGTGCCTGCACTTAAGTGCTTTAGGCTTTGGGGACAGATCAGAAGCAGGGGACCAAGGCAAGGTGGTCTTTACCCCTAGAGTGAGAGCCAGTTCTCTCTCTGGAGTTCACTTAACTCCAAAGGGGAAAAAATCAGAGAGGGGGAGAGAATTTCAAAATGCACTGAAACCAAATCTCACATGCCTCTTTTCAAAATCCCATTCACACTCAACATACTAGAAAAGGGTCTGCCTGGGGAGGTTTAAGACTGTGGAGAGAAAGAGAGAGAGACAGAGAGAGAAGTTCCAGGCTGGTATGGTATTAGAGAGTCCTGCCGTTCATTTCTGGTTGTTTTTGGACAGGAACCTTTACAGTCTGGACTTTTTGTGAAGGGGAAACAGCTTAACATCCTTGGAGCCATTTTTATGCTCTCTGGGATGTGTCTCAGAACCCAGTGTGCTTTCTTCTGATGGCACCTGCAATTGAGCAAGGAAGCAGGAATTCATGGGCCTGGATTCTATGGGCCTAAGCAAAGATTCCTGTAATAATCATCAAGCCAAATCATAGAATAGAACCTGGGTTAGAAAAAAACCTCCAAGGCCATTTAGTTCAACTCAGAAATATTTTATCCCTTTGGGTGGGTGGCGAGGGGAGGTGCCTACCTGCCGATTCTGACCTTCTACTCGAATGGCAGGAATCCCTTATTGCCAATAACTTTATTAATGAAGAAGGATTGGCTGAGAGGGGGTGTGTGTGTGTGTGTGTGTGTGTGTGTGTGTATGTGCGCGCACACACATGCCTGCTCTGTATCACAGGGATCCTATGAAACACAGGTGTATGTAGTATGTTTCTTTTCCTGTGGCCTCCCTGCCCCTTTCCCCAACACTGATAATCTGGAGAAGGATGTTCTGCTATGCTCCTGGGCCCGGGCAGAGCCTTCACCATGTTGGCCACTTGAGCTCTTAAGGACACCTTTGGCCCCTCAATGACACAATCGGAGGGTCTCCACCCCCCTTTTTTCTTTCTTGTTCAAACAGGTAAAAAACAAGGAGCCCCTGAAAATCGCAACAAAGGTAACCTTCTCCCCCCCACCATTCACCCACCTCCCCCCAAACCAGACCTCCCAGGCTGTCCACCATTCTTCCTTCTTCCTTCCCATGAGTCTGTTCTTTGCTGAGCTGGTAGAGGCATCTGGAGGGTGCAGCGACTAAGACTTTTTGGTCCACCTTCCCTTTCCCAACCTGAGCTGAGGCCATAGCACCCTCTGCTGTCAATTTAGGAAGGCCAGGACCTAGGTTGCTTCTGGAATACTGTGGGAGACTGATCTGTTCTATCCCAAGAAAATGATCTCTTTGACTACCTGGCAGAAATGGCCTTTCCCCGAGTTTGTTATTGGGCGTTCTATGTTTTACAGCCTGATGTGCTCCATCCCCAGGACAGGACGGTCCCCTTATCCCTGCAGGGATTGCATAATCACTGCACCCTCCTCCTCTTCTCCTGGCCTGCCTCTGTCCATGTTCTCTCCTGATCTGGGCTGCCCTTTCCACTGTTCTTCCCAGGTGGTATATGGAGAGCCCTGTCTTTGCCCTTCTCTTACCATATCTCTCGCTCTCTCCTTCTTTCCACAGTTTGTTTTTCTCCTCTTGATCTGAAGTGTGTTTTCTTTCTGGTGGTTGTGTTTTCATTCTTTCTCTGTCCTGTCTACGTCTGGTGGCAGAAGCAGCCTCTCCCAAGAGACACGATGTACACAGGCACGGGAGGGATATGGGGATGGCTCTGCTGGAGGACAAGACAGTTCACAAAGATCTCTTCCTTTCCAGTCCAGATGACATTGACCTCTAAGAGCAAAGCTGTTGTATTTGTTAGAGAACCAGGCCTGCTCAAAGGAAGTGATTATCTTTATTTTTAGGCTTATTATAAACCTGTTTTTAAAAATGAATAAAACAAACCGGTCTGTTCATATGTTTTCTCTCTCTTTATCTCCCTTCCGCTTTTCCAGTGGATCCCTCATACCAACTGCCTTGTAAGGAACTTGGTTCCAGGGCTCCTTTTATGTCTTTCTTCCCTCGTGGGGTACTAACCAAGAACTCCCAACTCCAGTTTGTATTGGAGGGGGCTGGAGATGCCCAGCTTTATGATCTTTCTTGTTTTGTTTTTTGTTTGTTTAATGATATCATGTATGTGGGGATCGAGGTAAGCATTTCAAAACAGAATCCAAATTCCAGTGTCCCTGGCATATTTGCCGACTGCCTACTAGCTCAGCCATATTCTGTATTTTCGGAGTTCATCCATCCTAAACACTGGCTTCTTGGAAAGATGGTTTGAAATTTTCTATTGCATTAGTGTGGGTAAACATATATATTTTTAAAATATTTAATAGAGTAACACGGTACAATAAATCCAATTCTGGATGCTGAGCTAGTGATGGGAGACTGGCAGTAGGGAAAACTTATACCCTGCCCTGTGTCTTGCTCCAAAGGATCTGATCAGAAATCCCTGTGGGCTGAATTAAAACGGTCAGCCCTCAGGTGGGATGGGGCAGGCTGGGCTCAGAGTATTGGTGCTGGCTGTCCAACACCAACCTGTGCTTCAAGGAGACAGGCAGAAAGGCATCTTGATTTCTTGGCTCTAACCTGCCTAGTCATCTGTGCTGCCGAGCCTCTGGCTCACCTACTATTTATGTGTGTGCTCCAGCTAAGACCGAAGATGGTGTGCCTCTAGAAATCCAGCCCCTGAAGAGCCAAGAAGGCTTAGAGGAAGAAGAAAAGAAGAAGAAGAAGAAGGGGCCCAAGGAAAAGTCAGTGCTACAGGGCAAACTGACACGCTTGGCTGTTCAGATTGGGAAAGCTGGTGAGTAGATCCAGCTGTCTGGGGGCCAGCTGGGGGGAAGAGCGAGAAAACAGTAGGATATCCCATGAGCCTCTCTTCTACCACTCTCCCCACCCACCTACCCCATACAGGCCAATTCAGACCAGAAACCTGAATGTCTGGTGTGAACCAGAAGATGAGATCCTGGCTTTACCTCCAATTCCCCTTTGAATTGATATCACTTCCCCTCAGGTGGAATCGTCACCAATAAGGAAGTCTCTGGAGTGGAGTGCGTCTGAGTCCTCAGAGTCAAACCTGAGAGCTAAAGAATGTGTCTTCCGAAGAAAAATTAAAGTTCACAGTTCACTGAACTTCAGCCTGGGGAAGGCTGGTGGAACCCCCAATAATTATCCAGCCTTGACTTCACATTCTCATGGGATAGTGAAGTCACCATGTCCCAAAGCAGCCCATTTTGCATTGGTAGAGTTCTATGTGTTAGGAAATATCTCCCCCCCCCCATTGTGAGCTGAAGCCAGAGGAAGTTAGGCTAACGTGAAGTTTTTAAAATATTGGTTCTTGTCAGTACCATTGGCTCTAGCTTGTAAATTCCTCGAAGATAAGGTTCACTCTTCAGCTAGCAAATACTAATCACATAGGCGAAGAATAAGCAGATTTGGCCCTTCTGATTATTACACGATCACAAATAGAGAGAGATAACAGAGCACTTGGACAGAGATTTCTAAAGGATTTTTTTTACCAAATAAATTGTCTGCAATAGAATTTGGGATGGTACCCAAGCAGAAGGTCTCTCCAGCTGCCTTTCCATTACCTTGGTTGCTGTGCCTTCCCTGTATATCAAAAGGAAAGACATTTCTTCTTCAAAGTTCTGACCCTAGATTTATGACTTTCCTCTCTGCCTAAAGCACTGGACTAGGAGTTAGGAACACTTGAGTTCAAAGCTAGCCTCAGACACTTACTAGCTGAGTGACCCTAGGCAAGTCATTTAGCCTCTGTCTACCTCACTTTCCTCAACTGCCAAAGATAGATACTAATAGTACCTACCTCCAGGATTGTTGGAAGGATCAAATAAAATAATACTTATAAAGCACTTAACACAGTACCTGGCACGTAGGAGGCATTTAATAAATACTTATTTCCTTCCTTCCCTCCTTCATTTCTCTTTTTTCTTCTCTGACCATACTCCTTTTTCTACCTCATCCAGTTCAGTCAAAGAGTCAACAAAGCTTAAGAGATGGAAAGAATCTCTCTCTATGCCTCCGCATTGGCTATTCCGAGGGCTTGGAAACCACTCCCTCCTCACCCCCACCTCTTAGAATCTGTAGTTTCAGAGCAACTAGGTGGCGCAGTGGTTAGAGCTCCGGCCTTGAAGTCAGGAGGACCTGAGTTCAAATTCGACCTCAGGCACTTGACACTTACTAGCTGTGTGACCCTGGCAAGTCACTTAACCTCAATTGCCTTACCAAAAAAAAAAAAAAAAAGGAATCTGTAGTTTCTACTGAGCCTTAGTTCAGGGACCCCTTTCCACATGACATCTTTCCTGTTCTCCGAGCTATGAAGGCCTCCATCTGAAAATTATCTTGTATATAGTATTATCGTTGTTAACATTAATAATAGCTAGCCTTTACATAACATTGTAAGGCTTGCAAAGTACTTTTCAAATACCTCATTCGATCCTCACGACGGCTATCAGAGGTAGGTGCTATTATTATCCCCATTTTTACAGATGAGAAAACTGAGAAACTGAGAGAGGTAGTGACTTGCCCAGGGTCACACAGGTAGGTTGGACTTGAACTCAGGGCTTTCTGACTCCAATTCAACAAATGTTTGTTGATTGATTGACCTTAAACATCTAGTCCAACCTGTATTTCAACAGAATCCCATCTATGACATCCTCAAGAAGTGATCACCCTGCTGCCAGTTGAGGATCCCATTGTGACGGGGAACTCACTGCCTCCCCAAGTGGGCCCGTTCCACTTTTAGGTAGCTCTGGTTGTTAAAAAGTTGTTCGTTTCTATTGAGCCAAAATCTGCTTCCCTCTGGCTTCTACCTGTGGTTACTAGTTCCCCCTTCTAGGGCCAAGTAGAACCAATTTCACCTGTCCGAATATCTTTGGGCAGCGGGATGTGCTTCTCCCCACCAGTCTTTGTTTCTGCGTGTTAGACAGCCTTATTCCTGCTGCTGAACATTGTGTGGCACGGTTTTAAGTCATTTCACCAACCTGGATTTGTTTTTCTTAAACTCAGATGTAAGAATTTTTACGCTTATCCTAATTACATTTGAACCGCTTAAATCCACACTATTGTCACTCTGACCTTTATACCCTTTGGGGTCTTGATCATGACTATGTCATTAATGTAGTAGCTATCTATCCCTCCCCATTTGGGGGGACAACTAGGTGGTGCAGTGGGTAGAAGTGCTAGGCCTGAAGTCAGGAAGACTGATCTTCCTAAATTCAAATCCATCCTCAGACACTTACTAGCTGTGTGATCCCAGACAGGTCACTTCACTCTGTTTGCCTCAGTTTCCTCATCTGTAAAATGAGCTGGAGAAGGAAATGGCAAACCACTCTAGTATCTCTGCCAAGAAAACCCCAAATGGGGTCATGAAGAGTTGTCTACGACTGAACAACGATAACAGCGCCCCTTGTCTTTACAACAGAATGAGGGAATCTGCATCTCACTTTTATTTTTGTATCTTCAGTACCTAATGGTACAGAGTATGCATCTATTTAATAAATGCTTGTTGAATGAAAATTGTTGGTTTGAACTTAACACATCTGTATATAATTTATGGTCAGTTTCTTAGCTTTTACCAAAGGCCTTCTCTGTTCAGGGCTCTATACTAGGTGCTGGGGAAACAGATTTGATTGTTCCTTATGATTTAGCAAAGTACAAAACATTAAGTAGATACCCACATCCTTTTCCTCTATACCTGAGCTTTAGAGTTTGCTCTTTGCCTTACTAATACCATATACCCTGGCCATGGAATCACTTAGTTAAGGGATAAATTAGCATGTAAAAAAGAGCTACCATCTATATCTATCTATCTATCTAGGCGAGGTAGGTTTGTGATGAGCACCCATAAACTTAAATCATGAATTAAGGGATACGGCTGTGGGGGAGGAATTAAGCTCATCTCCTTACTCAGCAACCATTAATAAAACACCTGCAGCATTCAAAGCACTGTACTAGCTACTAGTCTTTGTGCTCTAGGGACTTATTATAATAGATGAGCCACCTATAATGAACAGACATAGGGAGAACAGCAGCCATAGAGCATTATGTCCAAGGGAAGGGCTAGGAACAGGTGACCGCATTGTAAAGTGAATGGAATGACTTGTAGGCAGCTTTCTCATTTTGACTTTATCTTGGTACAGGGTGTAAGACGCCGGTCTACGCCCAGTTTCCGCCATACTGTTTTCCAGTTTTCCCAGCAGTTTTTGGTGAATAGTGATTTATTGTCCCAGAAGCTGGAATGTTTGGATTTAGTAGATTAGTGTCGTCATTGACTGTTGTGCCTTGCCTAGGCAGTTTTCTAGAGAAGGGAGTTCTGAACCTCCAAGTTCAGGGGCCTTCATTTCCCAGTAGGGGTCTCTGAGTCCAGTCTAATGTGGCTTGTATTCCCCGGACAGGTCTTTTCATGTCTGCTCTCACAGTTCTCGTCTTGATACTGTCCTTTCTGATCAACACGTTTGCGGTGCAAGGTCAGAGTTGGAACGTGGAATGCATCCCCATCTACGTCCAGTACTTTGTCAAGTTCTTCATCATTGGGATCACTGTGCTTGTAGTGGCCGTACCAGAAGGGTTGCCTTTGGCTGTCACCATCTCGCTGGCCTATTCCGTCAAGGTGGAGTGGGGTCTTCATTCTTCCTTCCTATAGAACATTGAGGGGAAGGGAAGGTTCTAACAGCAAGGATCACCTCAGGGCATGGGTCATGTTCCCTCAGGACAGAGAACATGCCTACCTCGCTTTCCCTCAGAGCATTAGATGAAATACAGCATCCAGGACAGAGAGGGACCCCTGTCCTATTTGGTCATCATTTCAATGTCCCTAAAAGACTTTGATTTTTAATAGACCCCATAAAATTCATCTTGGATTTTTTTTTTTTAATTCAGAGGAAGAAGTTAGTGAATGGGAGAGGAGAGGATAGGGTTTGAACTGGAAGTCTCCCAATTTCTGTACTTAAGAGAAGTCCTGCCGATTCTCACAATTCTCTTCTTCTGGCAGAAAATGATGAAGGATAATAACCTCGTGCGTCACCTGGATGCCTGTGAGACTATGGGGAATGCGACGGCCATCTGCTCAGACAAGACAGGCACACTGACCTTGAACCGCATGACGGTGGTGCAGGCCTTCATAGGGGACACTCACTTCAAGGAGGTCCCCAGCCCAGATGTCATTGCACCCAATACTCTGGACCTCATCGTTAATGGCATCGCCATCAACAGTGCCTACACATCCAAGATCTTGGTATGCTCTCCCCTGACTCTAGGCCTTGGGTGTATAAGAGAAGGGAATCTCTGAATTTCTGGGCAAACCAAGAAAAGGTTCAGTGACTTGCCTGAGGTCACATTTCTAGTAAGTGGCAGAATCGGAATTCAAACGCAGGTCCTCTGATTCCAAATCCAGCATTCTTTCCCCTGCACTACAATATGTCACCCCTGAGCATAGCATGTGAAGCCTGATGGAATGAGATTAGGAAATATGGATGTATGAGGGGAGTCATGGGCCCTTTAGGTACCTATCAATTCCCAAGGAGAAGCAACCTTTTTAGAAAGAGATCCTTGCACTTCTAGCAGAGAAAGTCTCACTAGCAGAGTAAGGGAGGGGGTGACCTTTTCCAGAGCAGGCTAGGCAATCTGTCTAGGGGTTCAGGCCACTTGTCTTCTTCCTCACCATCTCTCACTACCCTTGAAACAGGTAAAATGTTACATAGTTGGGAAGTGACCAGCCTGTGCTGCTAGGGCTGCAAGGAAAGTCACGATCATTTCAGGTACCTTCGGCTGCCTTTTTCCTTGGCCTCCTGGGCCCCCTTAGTTAGGTGCTTCTCAGTTAGCCTCCATGTTATTTCTTTTTCAGCCTCCAGAGAAGGAAGGAGGGCTTCCTCGGCAGGTGGGCAACAAGACAGAGTGTGGTTTACTGGGCTTTGTCAAAGACCTGAATCACGACTACCAGGCAATAAGGAATGAGGTGCCGGAGGAGAAATTCTACAAAGTCTACACCTTCAATTCATCACGCAAATCAATGAGCACAGTTATCCAGAAGCCAGATGGGACTTTTCGAATGTACAGCAAGGGGGCCTCGGAGATGATCCTGAAAAAGTGAGCCATCCCCTGGTGCACTTCACAAGGTCCTTCCTCCAGTAAACCTTCCATAGAGCTTTCTCCTAGCCCTTGGGCAGCTGGAGTCTCTACCCTGACTCCCTCCGTGCCAAAGTGGTGTGTGGCCACATTCAAGCCACTGTACCTCTCTAGGCCCTACCTCTCTCCATCTGTTCAATGGAGACAGCCCTCCCTACTATTCCCCACCTCTTCTCCCAACTCCACCCTGCACCCCTATCAGGACACAGAGAAAGAAAGTCAGATAAGACACCAGAGGTGGAAAGATAGGAGCTAAAACGAGGGTCCTTGACCCTTTTTGGTGTCCCGGATTCCTTTGGCAGTCTGATGAAGCCTATGAACCTCTTGTTATAATTATGTTCTTAAATCATAAAATAAAATACTGAGGATTCCAAAGGAAATCAATTATATTGAAATTAAAGTGTCATTTCTTCCCCCATCCAAGTTTATGGACCATCTGAAATCTCTCCATAGATCCTACCTAGGTTAACAAGCCCTGAGCTAGAGGGCAGCCAAGGTTTTTAGCATTGTTATCCTAAACTCTCCCACACTGGGTATGGTATCTTTATGAGAGGACACCTGGTTAAGAGTGCAGTGGGTTGAAGGTAGGGATGTCTCTGATGGTGGGGTCATGAGCAGCAGTCCTTCACTCTCCCCTCCTGTCCACTCATATACATTCCACTGCCTCTGCTTAGATTTCCAGAACCCCTCTACAAGGAGTAGCACAGCCCCACTTCTGGGAGTCCTTTAGATTGCCCTTTGGTAGGGAGGAATTCTCTTTCCATTCACTGATAAGAAAAGCTTAATCCCAGAGGGAAATTCTCCTTGGCCCCACTCCCTCTTCTATACGAAGCAGAGAATCTACCCTAATAAGCACTGTTATTGATAATAATACCACCTATTTGAGGGGATATCTTTTCTATCCTAGCCTGTCTCAGTTCTCCTGCCCCAGGTCAGAGCGTGGACTGGAGGAGGATAGCAAAGATGACCACAAGAAAGCACCCCATAATGATGGCTCTTTAAAACTGAGTAGAAAACAGGTGACCAGTTTTCACTGGAGAGGGAATATCCAGAACAGAAGTGTCCTATGACAACAAAATCACAAGTCTGGATCCTCTACACATCTTCCCTGCCCCCCCCCCAAAAGAGAAAGCCTTCACTCACATTTATATATTGCTTAAAGATTCACAAAGGAGTTTCCATTCAATAGCCCTGTTAGGTAAGTAGGTTACATATTATTCTATTTTACATATTAAGAAACTAAGGCTCAGAGGTTGTGGCTTGCCCAGGGTCATGAGCTAATCAATGTCAAAGCCTGGCCTCTAATTTAGATCTGAGTTCAAGACCAGTGTTCTTTCCAGCATACCAATGTAGCTCTCTTCTTTGATACTGAAAGGGAAGAGAAAAAGTGCAGATCAGCCCAAACTTCCAAGAAGCATTTTCTGGAGCTCACTGTGACTTCTTTTTTTCTCTTTGGTAATATGTTTCTCTTCCTAACTATCTGATTTAGGCTATAAAGTCATTCTGAGCCACTCCAGGATTGGGGAATAGGGGTGGGCAGAGGCATTCAAAATATTGAGGAAAGCCATCTTAGAAGGCTTAAAGAACCCAGGATTGGGGGTCTGAAGACTCGAGTTTAGCTCCTAGGTGTAGTGCCAAGCAACCTACTACCTGTGTAACTCTGGGCAGGTCTCGTTTCTTTCCAGGCCTCAGTCTCCTCATCTATAAAATTGGGTGTTGCACTCAGTGTTCCCTTCCAGCCCTGATACTTCATGATTCTGTAGACATTCGTTGCACACACTTCATAAAGCAGCCAACCCAAAAAGAGGTCTTTAAAGATTGATTTTTTAACTGCAACACCAGCAGCAAATTGGTTCATGTAGCCAACTCCCCAAGGATTTATTTAATCAGAAATGGAACTGAGGCTTCAAAATAACAAACGAGTCCAAAGAAACTGTCTTTGATAGACAGAGACAGACACAGAAGAATACATGTGGAGAGAAAGATTCTCACCTCGGTGACTATGCCATACCCCCTCAACCACAGATCTATGATTTACTGCCCAAACAGCTTCTATCCGGCTAGAGGCAGTAGAGTAGGGGCTCCTGATCTGGGGTTTATGGAGTCCCAAGGAGATCCACATATAAACTTCAGGGGATCCATGAAGTTGGATGAGAAAACAATTACATCTTTATTTTTGTGATACTCTAACTGAAATTGATCATTTCTATCATTTTTAAAAACTTGATTCTGAGAAAGGCTTCCCCAGACTGCCAAAGGGGTCCAGGTGAGGAAGCCATGCTGTAGAGTTCACATAGGGAATGAAACTTATTGATACAGACATCCATACTTGAATATCAGTGATCTCAGCTGCTCCTTCCTCCAGTGCAGATGTGAACTGGCCATTCTGAGTCATCATGTCACCTCACAGCCAAACCGCTGGCAATAAGTAGCTCTAAGTTTTACTAAGCTGGTCAGCAGACAATGGGCACGTTCTCTTGTGGGGACTCTCCACAGAGCCCTTCCAACTTCATAGGACCTGTCAGAACTCGAGCTCTCATCCTGGCAATGGCCTTGAAAACCTAGGACGACTTCCATGTCCCAATAAGGAAATTGGAATCAGACTTTTTGTGGAGGATAAATAGCCATAGAACCAGACTTTATGGGATGCTGCCACCTGACTCCACCTTTTCCTCAGGTGCCTCTGGGTCCTGGACAAGAATGGGAACCCCCAGACGTTCAGGTCCAAAGAACAGGATAGTATGGCACGCTTTGTGATTGAGAAAATGGCCTGTGAGGGGCTTCGCACCATCTGTCTTGCTTACCGAGACTTTGAAGAGGAGCCTGACTGGGAGAACGAGCAGGAGGTCCTCAGTAAGCTGACCTGCATCTCCGTGGTTGGCATTGAAGACCCTGTGCGCCCAGAGGTAAGACCTGTGCCCTAGCTGAGGGAGAGGGCAAATAGCTATCGGCCTTTTTATTTAGCATGACCTAGTGACAAAGGTCCCAGGGTGTCACAATGACGTTGATTCTAGCTCTGTTTTCACCATGTGACCCTAGGCAAATTAGCTATCTCATCCACCTCTTATCCCCCATTCTTTAAGAAGAGGTAATCTTATATCCACTCTCATCACAGAAGGTACTAATGAATATTGAAGATGATATAGTTTGTGTTGGTGAGTAGTTTTATTGGTTTTGCTATCTAAGTAATGGGGAATAAAGAGGCTTAGCTGAATCCTCAGGTGGGATGGGGTACCAGCTTCACTCCTGCCTTGTCCACCTTAATTCATCAGTCTTCCACTTAGGCAGCTAAACAGAACAGAAGAGCCAGGAAGATCTGGGTTCAAATTTGGCCTCAGACACCTTCTAGCTATGTGACCCTAGGCAAGCCGCCTAACCTTTGTCAACCTCAGTTTCTTTATCTGTAAAATGGGGGTGATAACACCACTCAACGTCCCAGGGTCGTTGTGAGGATCAAATGCAATAACATATTTAGAGTGCTTTGAAAACCATAAAGCTCCATATAAATGCTAGTTATTGTTTTTGTTGTTATCATTACTTGTCATAAGCAAGATTAAATACAGATCTGTGCTGTGACATTGGGTGCAAAGAGGAAAGCTGGTACCAGGCAGTAGTGAGAAGAATTAACTGTACCCTGAAGATGCTGGTGCTGCTAGAGGGGGTGGTGAAGAAACGACTTCCAGCCAAGAAAGGGGATGGTGGGTTAGGTCCAGGGCATGCTGCAAGTACTAGCCTTGTTTTCTTCCGATAGTCATCTTTGCAGCGGCCCCTTCTTCCCACGGTGCCCCTGCATAGAAGCGACTTACTTCACTGGGTGTAACCACCGCCTTCTCTTTATCTTCTCTCCTCTCCCCACATATTTCCTAGGTGCCTGAAGCCATCCACAAGTGCAAAGGGGCCGGCATCACCGTCCGAATGGTGACAGGAGACAACATCAACACAGCCCGAGCCATTGCCACCAAGTGTGGCATCCTGACTCCTGGTGATGACTTCCTGTGCTTAGAGGGCAAAGAGTTCAACCGACTTATCCGAAATGAGAAGGGTGAGGTGAGTGCTGGGACCCCAGAGCATCCGGGGCTTGAGGCTGGGTGCCAGAGTAAAGAGGAAGATGGATGAGCATCTATGTAACTGATCCACAGGTTGGAGAGGACAATCAGGTCGATTCTTCTATTGCTTTTGAAAGCAGTACCAGAGTAGCCTGGCTCAAAGGACTGTGGGTTCCCAGGGTGCTAGCCAGGGATGGACTGAGTGCTCTGCAGTTAAGGGATTTGGGGGGGAGGGTCTCCTTCATCCTTGACTGACCCATGGGGGTTGGGCTTATTCATTGCTGACAGGTGGAGCAGGATGAGTTAGACAAGATATGGCCCAAGCTTCGAGTGCTGGCCCGATCATCCCCTACTGACAAGCACACACTCGTGAAAGGTGAGACCCGCTGACACAGACTTGTGTAAATCAAAGAGCAGTGGGTACACACTGCAGCAGGAACTCAGACCTCCGTCCCGGGAACCATTTGGTGGCAGATTCCTGTGCTAAGGGGAGAGTCGGCAAGAAAAAGACGTGCTCCCTGCTTTGGGAAGCTCTAAATCTACTGGGGAATGTATGGTATATCCATAGACTTCAGTTAATATAGAATTCCATGCTCTCAGGTCCCATTGGTTTTTCAGCCCTGAAGGCTACCGTAGCAATGCTGGTCAGGGTATGGCCATGGAAAAGCCCAAGGCACGTAGAGAAGAGAAGGGAAAGAGAGGGACGAGAAGACTAATAAAAAAGGGTGGCTGGCGTGGGACACCAAAAAAAGGCTCAGTGGGTGGGGGTAGGCAGAATCCTTGTGACTGCTGCACTCAGCACATGTGTGTTACAGGCATCATTGACAGCACTGTGGGGGACCAGCGGCAGGTGGTGGCTGTTACTGGGGATGGTACCAATGATGGGCCAGCCTTGAAGAAAGCAGACGTCGGCTTTGCCATGGTAACCAGCTCTCTCTTTGGTTCAAACTGCATTCTCCAAACTAGAAGCCAACACAGGTTTCTGGTGCCCTTGCCACTTCATGTTCCCTCACCACCCCCCCATCCTGTATGACCCTTCCCTAGCTCTCCTTCTACCATATGATGGGGAGTGGAAGAAACTGGAGAGAAGCTTGGAAAGGCCAGCTCCCAGGCAAGCAAAAACAATCCTTTCAACTTGTAATTCACCTAGAAGCAAGCCCCACTGCACATGCACGATGATGCTGTACACGGGTCCATTCATCCCACAATTATTTATAAAAATTGAATACCCAGCCCTAGCTAGCCATTACGGTAAATACCAAGTAGAGGAGAGTCTCTGTTCTTAGGAGCTTACGTTCAACTGGGAAAATAAAGGCAGGTTGGTAAGAAGACTGCCAATAGTACAAGGGATTAAGCCCCAAATGAGCAGAGGCAAGAAGTGGGCTCTACTGTGGGTCAGGTAAGTGAGAAAGTGACTGACTGGATCAGGGCCTTCAGAGTCGGTGGAGATGTGGAGCGGGGGCCAAGGAAGAAATGATGAGATGAAAAGTGTGGCCAGGCAAACATCTTTGGGAGACTTGTCTGCATGAGTGGGAAGGATGACGAGAATAATGAGAGGTTAGGTTACTAACTAGGGTCAAGTAGTAAAGGATCGTTAATGTTAGGCATAGGCCTTTGGGCTTCAAGTTTCAGGAGACGTTTACTTTTCACATACACTCCCCTGTTCGTAACTCTCTGCTGGCTCTCTCTTGCCTGTGGAATACTGTGGCAGGGGAGGGGGGAGAGAGCAGGGGGAGACCATACGTAAGGATCTCTGTGGGCCGTTTATCGACTTAGAAAACCAAATATGAACTTTACCTATATCCTATTGTATTTTTACTTATTTTGTTACGTTTTTCCAAATTATATCTTGATAGTTCATGTGGGCTGTGTGTTTGACACCTCTTGTGTGCAGGATGGATTGGAGGGGAAAGACTATAGGCAGGCTTGTGATAGGTTAAGTGATAGAGTCTGGACTAGGGTGGTGGTGGGAGGGACAGGAAAGAAGGGGTGAGTGGCCATGCATGACACATACAACCAGGGACTTCCTTTACTCTTTCATATTCCTGAATGTAGCAAAAAGCTGGGGGAGGACCAATGATCTGAAGATCCAAACAACAACAAAAGAAAGGGGGCTGAGTTTACTCCTGAATTGATCAAGACTTTCTCCTCTGACCATTTCCTCTCTTTTCCTCATTGTGAGTCACTGCCCAAATAGAATCAGTTGCCAAGGCCTACCAGGTTTACCTCCATGCCCTAGTCCAGGATCTCATTACTTCTACCTGGACTACTAATTCCCATCTGCCTGGTCTGCCTGGCTATCCTCTCTCTAATCCACCTTCATATAGCTATTAAAATATCTTCTAGAGGCATGAGTCTGATGATGTCACTCCCCTGCTCAAAAATGTTCAGTGGCTCCCAATTGCTTAGAGAATAAAACACAAATTCCCTGTATTAGCACCGTGCATTTAAGGGTCTGCACGGTGGGAAATAAGCCTTCTGTGCTTATTTCCCGTTACTTTATGTCTGACCTACTGTTGCCTGACTCTGCAAGGACACAGGCTTTTCCCTCTCCTTGGAATGCACTCCCTTCTAAGGCTCAGCCAAAGGTTCCATTATCTGGGCTTTATTAAAACATGCCTTGGTTCTCCCCTCCTCTTCGCTGGCCCTCCTTCACCCCCAGCTGAGTGTTCTCTCTCCCTTTTCCTAAGGTTTTCTGAATCCCCCTTTTGTCCCCATTGTTCCCTACGCTCTGTAGAATGTGAACTTGAGGGGGAAAGCTTCCATTTCATTTTTGTATCCCCAGCACCTATCACACACTTGTATTGGGTAGAATTCTTAATGATTTTATCCGTTCTTCAAGCCTTCATCTTCCCCTTCGGAAGATAGACAACAGCACTTCTTTCCCTTCTTCCATTAGAATGGAAGCTCCTCTTGAGTAGGGATCATTTCATTCCTCGTACTTGGATCCCCAGTCCTGGGCGATTAACAAATGCTCGCTAATCTATTAGCTCACGTCTACCACAACGAGAGAACTCATCAGCTTTATGAAGAGACCCTGTCCTCCTTCTCCCAGCTCAGTTACTCGTATGTGTGCCAGGAGCGCCCTCTGGTGTCAGTGCCTGGTTCCGTAGCCTCTTAGAGGTCAGACGGGTTCAGGGTGGAAAAGGAATGTAGAGGTCATAAAGTCCAACCCCCTAATTTTGCAGATGAGGAAACTGAGGCCCAGAGAGATGAAGTGACAAAGTCACACAGCTCGTAAGGATCTGTTGGGATTTGACCTCCAGGTCCTTCAAATCTAGGGTTCTCTGTACTGTTGTCACGTTGCCTCAGATCCACAGGATTATAAATCTAGAGATTCATAAAATTATGGAATGTTAGAGTTTGGAAGGAAATTAAGGATTATCTAGTCCAAAACCAACATTTTACATACGAGGAAAGTAGGACCTGGAGTTAAGATGACTTACCTAAAGCCGCACAGTTGAGTAGTAGCCAGCTCTCCTGACTCCTGGTCTGACAAGGGTCCTGATTGCCCTGTGGTAGGTTGTCCTTTTCCAGTCCCTCACTGCCTGCTTTTCCTTCTATCTCTCCTCTCCCCAACAGGGCATTGCAGGTACAGATGTGGCAAAGGAGGCGTCAGACATCATTCTAACAGATGACAACTTTACCAGCATTGTCAAGGCGGTGATGTGGGGTCGAAACGTCTACGACAGCATTTCCAAGTTTCTGCAGTTCCAGCTTACTGTCAATGTGGTGGCTGTGATTGTGGCCTTCGCTGGGGCCTGTTTCATTCAGGTGCAGTGAGGGAGCCCATTCTGGGGGATGGGTCACAAGTTGACTGGGAAACGGGAAGTACGTCAGTTAGGAAGGATAAAGGAGACCGCCATGCTGTTAAGGCAGATGAGAAGCCCAGGCCGTTCCTGGCCACTGACCTGCACTGTGACCTCTGCTGTCCTTTGGGGGTCTTTGTGAAGAGCTCCAGTAATTATAAACCTGAGTTACTACGATTGAACACTTTATGGCTTACAAAGCACTTTGCTCATACCAATGCAGTGAAAGCACATGATGAAGGCAGTCATCTTACACATAGAAGGCACATGGAGATTCAGCAAAGTTACAAATGCCTTGTCCATGCTCACTGGCTGGGAAGTGTTGGGACTAGAGCTTGGTTCCAGGTCTCCTACTGCCAGAAATTGGGTGCTTCTTCTGTTTAAGAGAGTAGGGACAGAAGGAGGAATGGAGCTAAAGAATGGGAAGGGTTTGTGGGGAAAAAAAAACTGAAAAGAAAAAATCCTCTTCTTCCCGCTAGGATTCCCCACTGAAAGCTGTGCAGATGTTGTGGGTGAACCTGATCATGGATACTTTTGCCTCCCTGGCCCTGGCTACTGAACCACCCACAGAGTCATTGCTGTTGAGACAACCCTATGGCCGAGATAAGCCACTGATCTCCAGGACTATGATGAAAAATATCCTGGGACACGCCATCTTCCAGCTGAGCGTCGTCTTTACCCTTCTCTTTGTTGGTGAGCCAGGGCAAGGGTGAAGAAAGGAGCCCCAGAGAACAAGACTTTTGGGGAGCGGGCATGGCATTTTGTTTCTTGAGAACTGGGGTCCTTTGTCCTCATGGTTTCCCTTAACCCCCCTCCCAACCTTGTCCTGTCTCCCCTACTTAGGTGAAAAGTTCTTTGACATTGACAGCGGGAGGAAAGCCCCCTTAAACGCCCCACCCTCCCAGCACTATACCATTGTATTCAATACCTTCGTGCTAATGCAGCTCTTCAATGAAATCAATGCCCGAAAAATCCATGGTGAGAGGAATGTCTTTGCAGGCATATACCGTAACCCCATCTTCTGTTCTGTGCTGGTGGGCACATTTGTCGCCCAGGTAAGACAAAGTTTGGATGGGCAGGGTCCCAGGGAGAGAGCAGGAAGGGCAACAGACCACCCAGGGTGGTGTGGGGCTGAAGCTGGGAATTTAGATATCCTTCATGTGGGGCTCCATATCATCTCTGAACCTAATACAGGATGTGATCAGTGAATGGGACTGGGGCTTGGGTTAAAAACCTTGTGGATTTCCTAGATATCTCTGTTGATCCATCATTGTGGAAATGGAAAATTATCTTAGAAGTAAGTACAGAATGCAACAATGCAATGAGATTTAACAAGTAACATGAAGCTCCTGCCATTGTCATCATGCTAATTTAGGGGAGGAACTTAGTCCCTAAGGAAAGAGTTGGTATGATAGGTAAGAGGGCTGTGCCTGCCTTGGCTAACACCTTTCTCTGAGATCCTGCCTTTAACAGTGTTCACTCTGGGAATAGAAAGGCAGGTTTCTTCCCTCTCCATTTTGCCCGTGTGAGTGACGTGGATTTCTAGGGTCCTGATTGTCATTATGTCCATGGTGTTAAACTGGTTGGGGAGGGCTGGGGGGTGGGGGAGTATGATTTCTCACAGGAAATCTTTGCAGAGTACTCAAAGCCAGGTGAAGTCATTTTATTGACTCTGGCATCTCTATAATGACCATGTCGATAACTCTGTGTCTGCTGCTAGATCTGCCCTCATTCCTCTGTGTCGTGAGTGTAAGTATGCACATGAGTGTATACAGGTGTATGGTGTATATGTGTCCTGCCTTTCCTCCATTAAATCTGAAATTCCCAAAAAGCAAAGCTCTCCTTCTTCTGGATGTCCACTTGTCTCACTGCTCTCCTCTTTTCTTTCTCTCTCCTTTCTTCCGGCCGCTTGAAACAGGTCTCTGTGTACTTGTTATAGGGTGTTTGGCTGATGTGTTTTGGTAGACCTGAGAAGAAGCCAGACGTGTTGACTATAACAACTGGGGCTTATAGGATCATAAATTAAGAGGATTATAAGTTAAAGGAACCTTAAAGGTCACCTCGTCCAGCCCGTTTATTTTACAGATAAGGAAACTGAAGCAGAGACACGGTGGTTTAGTAGGTAGAATATACAATATTTCTCCACATAATCATCCCAGATTTTATGCCAAATTTTTTTGCAAGAAAGTGGAGTACGATCATGATGTGAAACTTTTTTTTTAATTGTGCCGGTATTACTTAAAAATCACTTATTACTAAGCTGTCTTTGATGCAAGGTTAGGATGCATGGCGTACTCATGAATATATGTTACAATTGAATACCGACAATGCACATGCACTGAGAATTCTAGGCTCTTGGCTCGCAACGCAAGAGATAAATACATATTGATATGCCACTGGTGAATGTGTAGCTGCTCTGTTTACCTTTTAAGTGGCATGAAGAACAGAATTATACCAAGTGACGATTATGCGATGAAGGTTATAAACCAATTTTTGGACTGAAAAAACAGTGTGTGACAATTACTCAGTGAGAACTGTGCTGAATTTGGAATCAGGTAGCCCTGGGCCAAAATCTTTGTTCACCTAAGGGCATAAGGACTCAGTGGCCAGTTCTCCAGCTATGATCCTGTTAATCCTATAAAACCCAGAATGGTAAGTGACTTGCCTAAGGTCACACAGGCAGTAAGCAGCAGAGCTGCTAAGCCCATGCACTTTTTTACTGATTGATAGGGCTGACTTTAGGTCAAAAGAACTATGCTCAAACTCTGCCTTTGGGACCTTAGTTAGGCAAGCCACTCTCTGAGCCTCAGTTTACTCATCTGTAAAAGGAAGGCATTGGACTAGTTGATTTCATTTCTCAGTCTTTTAGAGTCCTGGCTGTGTCGCTTGTTAGCTATGGATCATAAGCAGATCACTTCCCCTCTCTCAAGGCTCAGCTTCATCATCTCTAAAATGATGAAAAATACTTTCATGACCTCCCTTACAAAGTTGTCGTGAGGGAAGCTCTTTGTAAACTGGAGGTCCTATGTGAGCAACAGCTGCCACTATTCCGCCACTCATCTCTGCTCCGACCGTGCCTCCTTTTTCTCACAGATCCTGATAGTGGAAGTCGGGGGCACACCCTTTAACTGCACACACCTTTCCTTGAGCCAGTGGCTTTGGTGTCTTTTCATTGGGATTGGAGAGCTGGTTTGGGGCCAGGTGAGTCACTTGACACACACACACACACACTCACACACACAGACAGAGACATGGATGCACGCTTATCTCGGATGCAATCACCGAGTATTAAGGGGTTTATTAAGCACTTTCTGTGTACCAGGGATAGTGACGAGTGCTAAGAAATGTGGTCACCGTCCTCAAGATCACATTTGGATGACCCCCATCATCTCTCTCTAGTTCCATTAGATTTACCTGGGATTCTAAGTTTACCATTGCCATGCCTTGGCCTCCCCTAGAACCTTTGAAGGAAAGAGTAATTTTATTATATTCTCATAATACAACTACTTTTGAAGAATACGCGTGTGTGTATGTGTGTGTGTATGTGTGTGTGTGTGTGTGTGTAGGTAGGGAGGGGAGGAGGAGGAGAGAAAAGAGAGGAGAGAGAAGAGAAAAAGAAAGAAATTACCCAACCTCCTCTACACTGTTTCTATACTCTTTTTTGTATTTATCTAAAATAAAACCCAGTGGTTCAGTGTAAAGAACGCTGAATCTGGAATCGGAAGACCTGATTTCACATCTCACCTCTGACACTACCCGTGTGACCTTGGGCAGGTCACATGCCTAGATCCAGTTTCCCCAGGTGTAAAATGAGGGAGTTAGACTACGTGTCTTCTGAGGTTCATCCTAGTTTTAGACCTGTGATTCTCCAAGTCCATATATTACAATAGAAAGACTACAGAAGGTCCTTTGTTAGAATGCACATACATGAATGAGGAAATGGAGACAGGGCCCTCAGGTACTGGTTAAAACCTCTTTGTTCTCTTAGAAGGTAGGAGGAGCCAGGCCAGAGAAGGAGTGAGGTATGTGGGGCTGGAGCGAAGGAAATTAGAAGTGAGGTAAGGAAGCAGAAAGTCCTTTCGGATGGGGGTGCCAAAAGGTAATAACAGGGTGTGCACCCCTATGTTTTGAAGAGTATCAAGATCATGAAATCTTGAGGCCCTCGAAGCTAGCAATCTATTCTTCCCAGCACTAATTCTTTTTTTTTTTGGTTTGTTTGTTTTATTTTGGCTAGGCAATGGGGTTAAGTGACTTGCCCAGGGTCACCCAGCTAGTAAATGTTATGTGTCTGAGGTCAGATTTGAACTCAGGTCCTCCTGACTCTAGGGCTGGTGCTCTATACACTGTGCCACCGAGCTGCTCCTCCCAGAACTAATTCTTCTACACAGTACTGGTACTGACTGGAGCGGGGCAGGGAAGACGGGAGAAGTCCTCACTCTTCTGCTTAGGTCCAGCATGACCTTACGTCACCTCATCTGTAAAATGAAGGGATTGATCTAGATGATCTCTATGGATCCTTTCATCTCTAGATCCTGTGACCAAACCCATCATACTTTAGGCCAAGATACAGTCAGGTTGGCCCAGCTGTTAAGTATGATGAGATTCTTGGCCCCTTCCCCACGTCTGTCTTCTTTCCAGTTATGGACTCCTGGATCATGACCTCCGGTTTGAGCCAAACTATACTTCTACCTTTATCCTTAGGGTCCTTGCTAGCTGCTAGCTGAGGGAGGTGTTTCTCTACTTGGTACCGAAGATTCTTCCCCTAGACTGTAGACTTTTTTCCACCGACTTAGCAGTTGCCTCCTTCCCCACTTTCCTGGAGGTCCCTTGTTCTGGGCCATGAAAGTCATGCCCTCAACCCTGAACCCCTGACCCATTTCTCTATTCAGTTTGCCTGAAGCACATTCACTAGCCAATCACTGACTCAGTTCTGTATTTTGAGATTGCCACTATCTGCACTATCATCTCTATGCAGGTGAGTCTGAGCTCAGGATAGCAGCACCAGCTACCTGGAGATCCCAAAGGCTCCTCGAATTCACTGTGTTCAAAACAGAAAACTCTCTCGTTTTCCATTCCCTTCCCTGTTTTCAGTCACCCAGATCCACAACCTCAAAATCAGCCTTGACCTCCACTCTCCCTCACTTCTCATCCAATCAATTGCCAATTATCGTCTCTTCTATCTTCCCAGAATCTCTTGTATTCATATCCTTCTCTCCACTCATCACCTAGTTCAGGCTCTCATCATCTCTTGCCTGGATCATTATCGTGGCCTCCTCACCTCCACATAGCTGTCAGTCAGAGTGATTTTCCTAAATTCTAGGTTTGAATCCAAGACTGATACTGTCATTGGAAAGGGGTTTGGAGTGGGGCCTTGGAAACTAGCTGCGGCAGGTAGCAGAAAAGGAATGATTAAGTTGAGGTTGGCAGAGAAACAATAAGCCCACCCACTAGAGCAAGCTTTGGGAAAGAAGACTGAAGAGGGACCCCAGGAATCATTGATGTCACAGATGGGCCCAGGAAAGGAGTTCAGAAGTACTTTAGAGGGAAGCATTTAATAAATTTTATAGCCAGATCCATATGAGACTTAAGTTTAGAATGAAGCCAATTAGATAAATACAGGTTTGTATCTTTGTACCAACCGCTAATTTGAATGTTAGTACAGATAGATGGTTTTATAAGCTTAAAGAGCAAAATGAGAGAACATTTATTTACCTTTCCACAGGAAGCTAATGAGTAATGAATTGTAGCAATAAATATTTTTTTCTACAAGATACCTTATTCCAGGAGCATCTCTGTGCAGCATCAGCCTCAGGAGCTACATAAGAGAGGGAATTTTGATCTGTCATCAAGGCAATGAAAAGTCTCCTTTCTTGGCAATGGAACTCCAGGAACATATCTGAACCTACTTACATAAAATGATAGACAACTAAACCTTATGCTTTGTTTCCCTGCCCACTCATGTCCAACTCTCAGATTTATCTGTAACCTGAGCTTTTGCCTACCTTAAGAGATTTCACCTCTCTCCTTGTCCCCATCCCTACAGCTAATCAACACAGTGCCTACTTCAAGACTGACTTTCTTGAAGGAGGCTGGGCATGCCACCACTAAAGAAGAAATCACCGAGAAAAACCTGGCTGAGGGACTAGAGGAAATTGACCATGGAGAAATGGAGCTGCGCCGTGGCCAGATTCTCTGGTTCCGGGGCCTGAATCGCATCCAGACTCAGGTACAATGTTGGGAACTTACCCTTCATCGATGACCTGGAAGAAATTCTTTCCAGACCAAGGATGATAGTGAAGGAAAGTAGTAGTATTTAAGCTGAAATGCCCTCACCCCTATCCACACACCTAATGAAAAGGCTAGCAAGCAAGCCCTCCATCCCTGTGCTCAGGACTGAGTATCTAGGATATAAGGTGGCCCAGGATTGGGACACTCAAGTATTGCTAGATTTTTTGATTAGCAGGGTAGTCCTAGGATGGGCAGTGTTCAATCCCCCTCCAGGAGAGAACTCAAATAGTGTCTCCTTGATGACAGGATCCCTGTCAGATGCTTGCCAAGTCTCCTTTTCTAAGCCACTGCTGCTCTTTTCCCTGCCATGACAGTAGGGTGAGGAAAAGGACAGGCAGGGGAATGCTTGGCCAGAGCCCAGCCCCATCCCCCATCCCCTGTCTTTGCCTTACTAACTTTAATGCTGTAGTGAGAGATGTGTTGGGTGCAGGGGAGTAAAGAGCTGTCTCTTCATGACCAAGTTTCTTTTGCAGGAGCAAACCTTGCTACCAGGAAGAGGAGACGCCAGCTTCCTTTGGCCCTCTATTCATCTCCCCGCCCTTATTACAACCTCAGCTCCTTCCCTCAGCCTGGCAGGGACCTCATCTAGTAGTTACCTAGTGATTTCCCTATCTTCATTCAGCCAGTTCTAGGAATTGGCAATGCCCATGAAGGGCACCCACATGACCCTATTCATACCATTTTCCAAATCAGCTCATGAGACCTAAGGAGTTAAACAACCTTTCAATTAGTCTTATGGTTTAGAAATGCCCCAGTCTGCCTTACCCATAGAACACCAACTTGGTGATATTGGTATGTTGAACTATGCCTTCAAAAGACCACTGTCCCCATGAGCAAAGACCTGGTCTCCAGGTTGGTAACACAGCTGGGTTTTATGAGACCCCGAATCCTTTCCCTTCCTTGCGTCTTCAGAAACTCCAGAGCCAAAACCCTGGTGCCGAGGTTTTTGGGGTGCCCCTCCCCTGAGGTGGTCAATACTTTCCTCTGGCTCTGCACTTTTCAAAATAACCTAGGTTTTTGCTTTTCCTCCAGGGTCTCCTGCCTCCTCTTCTCCTAGCCGGATTCTGTTGTTGCAGCATCTCTCGGCTCCTACCAACCCTGCTCTTGGAGCCTAGGGTGTCTAGGTTTTCCTCTCTACACTTATCCTCCACCCTCCTTCCCTCCAAGCCACAATATATACATTTTTATATTTGGTGTGACCTCCCATCTGACTCTGGTTATCCTGGCATCCTTTGAAGGGTGATAAGGGAATATAAATCTATATAAATATACATGTGTGTATGTGTGTGTATGTGTGTGTGTGTGTGTATTAAGGGAATATAAATCTATATAAATATACATGTGTATATGTGTGTGTGTATGTGTGTGTATATATATATATATACACATATATATATATATACACATATATATGTATATACACAAAGTCACATGTAGCCTCAAAAGCTGATCTCAGAGTCAGGAAGCTCTGGGTTCTCTATTCCTTCTTCTAGTGTATGCAGGCTGTTTGACTTTGGACAAATCACTTAACCTTATATATATATAGAGACAGAGAGAGAGTCAGGCCAAAATCCCTGGACATCTCCCCTTCTTCTTGTTTTCCAACTCAGAGGCTGTCTGGCTCACTGATTCTGTAGCTTTTTGGACATCACAGCAAATTCATCATGACAGAAATAGATTATTCCAACGTGTACTGAGCTTTGTGAGCAGAGTCTACCTTTGTTCCTAATAGCTAAAGGTTTCTCAGAATTACAATACAATCACCTTTTCCAACTTCATCAGGGCATTGTCAGTGGCTCCTACTCTCAGCCTGCTAATATGCCACTCATCCCTATCCTGGCTGGAACATTTGGTTAAGGAATATAAGGGCCCCCATTGGGGAAGGGGGGTAGTTACTAAAATGACCCTGATTTTAGTCTGGATTCCCACATTCTCTGATGCTAAGTCACCCCTCCCTCCCCTTCCTTTCCTATGATTATCAAGTAGCTAGAATCACTGGAGGACTGGAACACTTGAGCACTGAGGGACAGAGCCTCAGAGGAGAATATTTGAGAGTAGGGGAGGCAGCCAGGCTCCAGCTGCATTGGGAGACTTTGAGCCTCTACCCGATGTGAGCAACAGGGAGTGATGCCTGGTGATCATCCTAGTCTGGACATGCTGTCACAGAGGGGATTAGCTATGTGGAGCAGTCCCTGGACACCCTACTCCCTTGTGGTAGGGAAGGACCATCTGTGCTTTCCCTAACCCATTCAGAGCCAATGGAGAATCAGGTCCCTGATGTGATGCAAGAGAAGATGCATAAGCTGGGTAGGGTAGTGGAAAGGATGATGTTTCAACCCATACTATGTCCTGAATTCAGAAACCTATTTGGAGCATTCTAAGTCTTCTCAAACAACCTACTGAATAAGAATGACTAATTGACCCAAAAACAGTCAGCCCCTTTGCTTTCCCAACTTCCCCATCCCCTGGGAAAGTGTCATGGGGAATAAAATGAAGGAAACCTGACCCTCTTCTAGTCCTTCGATAGATTTGGGGAAGGAAGTGACATGCCTGCTTTCAAGACTGTTCTACAGAGTATAAGCCTGGTGTAGTATATGGACTTGTGTACACATTTTGGGGGTTGGAGGGTGGTACTTTCCCACAACTCTGGTTTTTGGTCTTTACCTGTACCCAACAGCAGGATGGTTTGGAGGGGGGGAGGGTTGATGGGATCAAATAGGAGGGGAATGAGTCCTGCCTGTCACTGGGCTGACAATATGGGGTGCCAGAAGGGCAGAAGAACTGATGGTGTTAATTAATGCCCTCTGCCTCTAAGGGGCAAAGCAATTTGGAAATCAAATATCCTCCTTCCATAGGGCCAGAGTAGCAGGTGTTCACCACCACCACCTCTACCACCTCCTCTCCTTTCCCTTTCTCAGTTTAACTTTCAATGTATTCCCAGCACCTGCCAGCCATGAGGATCCTTGCAGCACTGGCCTGGCTGTGGCCACCTCTGTAGAATGGTCTGGCTCTTGTTTCTAAGCTGGAACTATTTGTGCCTCCCTTCAAATTCAGTCCCAAAAAAGTCTGATTGGGAGAAGAAACCACGGTGCTAGGAAATGAGTCCAACAATTGAAAGGCAGAATAATGTCACATTCTGCACTGGTTTTGTATCTTAGCCTTCTGTACCTTTGTGGCCCTCAGTTTCCCCATCTGTAAAATTGGGGGATGAGATGACTCCATAGTCAATGCTCCTATGATCAACCTGTTGATGAGGGATCTTCCCACCAGGGCCACCTGTATGCCTATTGGCAATAAAATTCCTTTTCGTTTTTCCCCAGTTTCATGGATCCCTCTCTGGCAGATCTGTGAAAATAAGCATTGTTTTGTTTTTGTTTGGCTATCCCAAGCATCAGAATTCAGCTGAACTTATCCCTGTCTCTGAAGCTGTGCCTTAATTTTGAGCATTTGGGTCACTGAGATCTATGTCACCATTCTATACAGGCTTTCTCTGCTCCCCACCTTCCAGTTCTTCTTTCGGGGTAATTCTTTGTGCTCGGGGAGACAAGTAAGCAAAGGAAGTCTGCTGTGTCCTTATCTCAACTTAAAGAGAGGGGAAGATGGAACTTTAGTTTGGTTTTTGGACTTCATGGAAAACCAGATTTTGAATAATCCCCAATGAGTTTTCCCTTCTCTTCTTCGTGACAGTTCTGTGTTGGGGGGGGCCCTCACTTTCTGTCTCCTGCTTCCCTCTCTTTTTTCTCCCTTGTTCCCTTCCTGACCCCTCCAACTCCTGGGGCCCTCCTTCTCCTTCTCCCTCTCCCTAGTCTCTGACTGTGGAGCAAAGCTATTTCACTCTCTGATTCTTTGCAGATCGAGGTAGTTAACACATTCCAGATGGCAGTCGGCTCTTATCACAGAGCCCTGAGGAGACAGAACACCACGAGTCTGCAAGATATAAAACCTGTTTGTACCCCAACTCTTGTAAATCTTTCTCCAGACAATTCTACTCCCAACACTTCTGTTCCTGCATCTTCTTCTATGGGCAGTGAGTTACAGTCTATTATAATGCATGATTTGCTAAAATGACCACACGAGAGCGGGTAGGATCCACTTTAACCAACTTCAGTTTTCTCTTCCTTTTGGTTTTTCCCTTGATCTTTTGGCTTGAGAGAGGGAAGGAAAAAAAATCCGACCCACCCCCAAACCAACCAGACTGTTTGAATTTATTTTTTACTTTTAAAAAATCATTGCTTCTTTACCATTACAAAATAAAAACCATAATAATAATAATCCTATCTTCTGGTTGTTATTCTACATTGCTTATTCCTTGTTTTTCTTGGGTTTTTCTTCCTTTTCCCTCCCCACCTCCCTCCACCCCACCCCCCACTCTTCTTGACAGGAACAGTATGATGATTCTTACTCTAAGAAGTAGGCCCAAGATTAAGACAACTGGGGACCTTACTTTATTGTGTCCACTGGGAAAAGTGTTTTGAGAAGTTTGAGGAAGGGGGCAGGGCACAAAGACAGCTCCTGAAGTTCTTTTATTTGTTGCTAAACTGGTAATGTAACTGAGTTTGGCCATCAGTAAGAAACGAGTCCTCTCACCACCACTGTCTCCTGAGGTGGAAATATCAGTTTACAAGCTGTAGCTGACATGGGAAAACAATGAGTGATGCCAAATTGTATTGTGGACCCACCTTGCCATTTCTAATTTACTTTTCTGAAGCCTAATTAGGCTCAATCCTAGTAGGAATATCAAGCAACTTATATTCTGCCGGATAGAGTGGGATAGGGGCATTGATTGTCTTAGGGCCTCTACATTATTGGTGAGTTTCCTCTGTGAGTTAACTGTGCTTTTTTCCTGCTTTGTCCATCACTACCATTCTCAGCACAGATAACTGGCTTGTCTGGATTTCTTTTTGGGGAACCAGCAGGAGCTGCCCCGTGTGTTCTTCATTTCTACGTGGCCCACTAAGATGGGGGAGCATCCAAAGAATGCCAAACCTTCCCTCTCTCCTATACTCTCCTCTACTATCTCCCTGGAATGACTCTCCCCCTCCTAGGTCTCTGTCCTTCCTCTCTGCCTCTTGGAGAGAAGGTCTGAAGTTAACTTCTAGCTGACTACAGTTTGGACAGAGACCTTATAGGATCCAATGGGAGGGGTAGACCTGGGGATCTAAGAATCAATCAAGGGAAATAGAAGAGGTGGGTTGGTACTAGCTAAGTTTGTCCAACAGCTCTCACCTTGGGTTCTGATGACTTGGATTTTAGTTACCCTTCTCTTTTTTAAAGTAGTGCTACCCTTCACGGAAGCCTCAATTTGTGAAGCTTCAATTTCCCCCAGCCTCATTTGGGAAGACTTCCAAGGCCTCCCTCCATGGAACTAGGGAAGATGAAGGAGACTTTAATCTTTTCTCTTCCTCATCACTCTTTGCCATCCCATTTCAATTTCTAGAAGGAAACAAAGCAACAGAACAGCAGCTGAGGAAATAGTGGTGGCCATCTATTTCCCATGCCTCTGGAAGAGTAGTCCATCAGATTTGGGGAATGATATTCTTCCCTTCATAATGAGCTATAACAAGGCCTTGCTCACTTGCTGGTCAGCAGAGGCCTATTCTAGTTGGGGCTTATGGAAAAAGACTTCCCATATTCAGCCTGTTCCCCTTCTCCTCCCCAAGGGATCGATAGTCTAAAGAAGATGGGATTGGGGCAAGAGAAGCAAACCCTATTTCTCTTTAACTCCCATGGGTATGGGCTGTGAAGGGGAAGGGAGGGAGGGAAGACTGGTTAGGTGGAAAGTGCCTACAGCTGCCACAGCATCTGCTTCACTGGCTGTGTCTTGCACCCCCCCCTCCACACACACACATACACACACACACATGCTGCTCACACACAGGGGCACCATGCGTTAGGTGGTGGGAGGGTAGCAATGCTTGGGGATGGTTTGCGTTGTGTTTGGCAGTCCTTGTATGTGTGGTTGTTGTAAGGGTCATACTCAGATATAGGATGAGTTCTGGGATGGGCCTCCCCCACCGAGCACTTACTAACTTTCTTCATGGGTCTACTCCTTACCCAAGTTTCCCTTGCAGGTGGTTGGTATCCCCCTGGATTTCAGGAGACCTGCAGTCTGGCTGAGTGATTGCTTCTTATTCTCCCAAAGAAATTCCTTTCCTATTTTAGACATTCTATCCTCCTCACTCTCCATCTCTTGTCATCCATTACACAGAGGCTGCTGGACATGTGGCACATAAGTAAATGCATCTTACACTTCTCCTGACTCCTTTGGGAGTGTAGAGCTCTCTGGAGCACAGAGGGGTTACATCCATATCTCCTACAGGGTGCTGAAGCTTGCACTTGACCCATGTATGTCAGCAGCAGAGAAGGAAGCCTTTGGGTTGGGTCCTATCTAACCCATCAGGCCTTACTCTATAAGCTTTGGTACAAGTAATCCACCCCAGGAACCTCTCAAGGACCAGGAAATGCCAGGTCATGAAGGTAGGAAAAGAGGGAGCTTATAACCTACCTTGAACTCTCAGGTCTGAGGCAAAGGGAATAGAACCATTCATTTAGAGGTTCAATGGGTGGGGCTGGGGAGGTTGAGATGGCAGGGACCTCCCCCTCAGCCTTTACTTTGTGTGTTTCTTTGACTCTCCTGGGCCAAGTAGTTAAGTTGATTTTATTGTATGGTAAGGAGCCTCTTAGCTTTCAGAGCTATGGACAAGGTTGTTTGGGGAAGGGGAGGGGAAACCTTGGTCATTAACTTCTGCCCTATCTGCTGAGGCCAGGCAGAACAGGTGATGTCACCTCTTGCCAGTTTCTGTTTGAGGGCAGATGTATACATGCAGAGAAGAGCAGAGACAGATAACCTATTAACAGATTGATTTACCCAACTGGACGTCATCTAGTCTCCCAAATCACTTTCTGTTGCCTTCTCTTGAGGACCTCAGCTTTGCCTAGGGTGGCAGGAGAGAATAAAGTTTCCTCTACATCTGTGCTTCTTTGTCCCCAACCCCCGGAATTACCTGCCCCTTGGGGTAAGACCAGTAAAAGCTTTAGCTCACATTCTTCTGCAGTATCCAGTGAGTGGGCCTGACAGTAGAGGTGGCTTCAGCCATGCCAGGTGGCTACTTGTGTGATGAAGAATGGGGAGGCAGCCCCAAGCAGCCCATGCAGCGGGCCAGGAGAACAGAGCCTCAGTTCCAGCCCAGACCCAGCCTCTGTGGCAGGTTTTGGAGATTCTCCAACCCTGCCCTGCCCACCCCACCCCACCCCACCCCAAGTTCTCCCAGTGTGCTCCACCATTCTCCCAGATGGCCATGAAAGCAGGAACAGAAGGTGAGGGGAGAGGGCTGGCAAGCAAGCAGGGCCAGGGTCCCCCTGCCCCATGATACTCATGAAGGGAAGGGGGTAGGACTTGCTCCCCCCTCTCCTTGATTGCTGCTCTGGGGCCTGCTATCTCAAAAGAAGATCCAAGAGCTGGCTCCGGGTGGGAGAGGTCACCAGGGTCCTCTGCTGTGGGCAAGGCTGCCCACATCAGCTCTCTTCTTCCCATCCCTCCCTCCTTCCCTCTCTCCCTCAGGCCAGGGCTGGACCTAGCCAGGAGCTCACACCCACTCTAAGAGCCTTCTTCTTCTTCCTCTTGCTCCTTTCTCTTCCCCCTTTTCTTCCTCTTCCCCCTTTTCTTCCTCCTCCTCTTCTTCCTCCTCTTCTTTCTCCTCCTTACTCCTTTCTCTTCCTCTTCTTCTTCCTCTCCTCTCCTCTCCTCTTCTTCCTCCTCCTCTTTCTCCTTTCTTCTCCTCCTCCACCTCTCTCTCTGGTTCTTTCCTCCCTCCATGGTGTCACTTTCTTTTCCCTCCCTTCTTCCTACAGGCAGCAGCTCTTCCTGAGGACCAGTTTCTTAGTTGCTTGTGTCCCACATCTCAGCCCCCTCCTCTCTGGGCTGCGCTAAGCTAGATCTTCCTTTGGACAGTAGAGCCCCACTTCTTGGGGAGGGGGAGAGGTGGGGCAGGGCCAGACTAGCGCATGGATGTATGTGGATGCGTGTGCACAATTTGCCCAAACCCTGAGCTGCCAGAGTTCTCATTGCCTGCATGCCACTGAGAGCCACCAAGCCTGGTTTGTCTGGCTTGTCCTTGCTGCATGGTATGTGGAGTTCACTGTTGTCACCCCGAAATGTGTATACACAGATCTGTGGGTCGGTTCTTTGCAGGCTCTAAATAGAGATGTGTCTGATTCAAAACACAGAGGGATGTTTCCTATTCTCCCTCCACCAGATGTTTGCCTACAGCACCAATCCACATATCTAAATCATTTCTCTGTTATTTGATTTCTACTTCCTTCCCATGTACATTAAAAAATTAATGCTTTTTTTTAATTATGTTTCGATCTGAGTGGTTTGTTTGGGAATGTCACGTTTGTGGTGGGTTTCTACTTTTTTATGAAGCTTTTGAAATGTCATAGTTGGGTTGCCATCACTCTTTACCCCACTCCACCACCATTATTGAATTTTGAACCATGTGATATTTATTTCTTGTGTTCCATGATGTCCTTATTGTATATTTATTTTTAGTTTTTGCTCAGTGGTGTTTTATGTTTTTCATTTTGTTTCTCCCTTCAAGAATCCAATTCCTCTACAGGTTTATCTCACTTCCATGTTTTTTCCTCCTTCCTTCCTTCCTTCTTTCCTGGTATAGATCAAAGTCGTGAAAGCATTCCGTAGCTCCCTCTTTGAAGGCCTTGAGAAACCCGAAACCCGAAGCTCTATCCATAACTTCATGACTCATCCCGAGTTCACCCTGGAAGAAGATGAGCCAAGAATGCCACTCCTAGATGGCAGCGAGGATGAAGATAGCAAAGAGCCTGGGACAGACAGATTCCCCAAGGCTACTGGGAGCAAAGAACCCCCATCTTTTCTATCCAGCAATGAAAACTACAATGCTTTGGACTCTAGCCCAGTGCATATCACAATATCCAACTCAGACAGCACCTTACACAGCCTGGAGACATCAGTTTGACCCTTAGAACTCTAGCTTCCATCCCTGATTTCTTTCATTTCCTCCCTTATCTGCCCCTTTCATGTGATATCCATGTGATAATGGAGTTTTTTATTGTCATGTCAACTGCTCCTGTGTGTGCACCAGGTGTGGATTCTCACCCAACCATTAGAGGCAAGAGCAGACACATTCAGGGACACCCAATTGAACTCTGAATTGGTGTTTGGGGTCAGGGGCTTCATAGCTGATGCAAGCAGTGCTGGGGTCTCCTCATGTTGGGCTCTGTAAATCAATAGTGGTTTTTATTAGCATTTTTTAAAGAAAGGCAACAGCCCTTGTCAGCCCCCCAAAATGATTTCCTGTATGTAGGCATAGAACACAGGAAAACCTCTTGGCTCCTATGAGGCAGTGTGAGCTGTTAGCTAAACAAGGATACAGAGGGAGAAAAAAATATCTAAAAGGAAATATATAGGATTGGGGTGGGAAGGGAGGGGAGAATGGGATTTGCAGAATCAGCCTATAGACAATGATTGCTTTTAAATAAGTCTTCCATTTTGAAAATTTCTACTTAAGCTCCTTAGCTCTTTCAGGCCTTCCTTACCTATCTCTTCTGAGTTCTTTTTATGCCTTTCCTCCCCTCTTCCCTACCTCTTCTCTCAGTGATAATAAGAGAGTAAGGAAAATGCTGAGTGAATTGAGTGACCGGGTCACAGGTTAGTTTGCCTCGGTTTAACTGAACTCCCTTCTGCCTCTGGAGCCAAGGGAGACTTCAGTTCTGGTTTGTGGAACCAGTTTGGGTCCTGAAAGGATTCCATTTGAACAGTAAAGTAACAAGCAATTTGGGTGTGTTGTGTGTATGTGTTTGCCCTGTTGGTGTAATGTGCCTTCTTCTCGAAACTGCCATGTGGTCAGAAAGGGGAGAGGCCAGTTTTTAAATGTCAGAGAAAAAGGCCTTGACTTTGGAGAGGGTCATGCTTTGAGTGGTAGGTAGTGCTGGATCTGACTTTGCTCCAGCTGGACACATACGAGGGCCCAGAAACTAGCAGATCTTGGGCAAGATAAGCCATTAGAGTAGAGAGAATCAGATTGGGTTTTCTGTCTAGCATGACCCTTGGTACTTGCAAAGCAGTCTGCCAAGGCTCTGCTATCTCAGGGTGTCAGGATGGGTAAGGACATCAGTGTTTAAGGAACTCTCAGGAGAGGATGAGGAAGGTTGTTCAAGTCAGAGCCTGGGCAGGCCTTGATTCACAGTGTTTAGAAGATCAGGGCCTAACTGCCTAATTACCAGCTTTGACTCCCCTGTGATTTACTAAGTCTGTTTCCTTGCAGTCCTGTGCCCCCTGAGGAGTCTCCAGCACACCCCAGAACTTAGCTTTAAAACTACCTATAATCAACTAGGTGCTCCAGTAGTATTTGGCTAATTAAGGCAGCAAGAGGAGCTCACCCTCTCACCCTTGGTTCTCCACACACCCCACCCCACTCCCGTGACCTTTCCAGCAATGAGCTCTAACCGCTGCTACCCAGTAAAGCCCTGTGCCTTCCCCCACCACTACCGTCACCCCACCACTGCCCAAAGCCTTTCAGCTTGGCACTCGGGAGTTAGAGACTTTGATGAGAGATTTTTTTTTTAAGTGTTTCTTAACAAGGATGAAATGGAGCTGCGCTTTCTGGGAGCTCCATTTTTGTTCCTGCTGACGTTGACTGATGCTTTTCTGAGCGTGGGTCTGGCCTATCACTCCTATTCGCCACTTTCCGTCTCCAGTGGATGATGGAAGCGCCACCAAGAAAGAGGGATGGGAAAAGGTGGGGGGGACCTCAAAGCTCTAATAAACTGCCAAATCACCAAATGCTTTTCTAATTGTGAGGAGGATCCTCCTGCTCTCGCCCTTCCTCCCAGAGTACCTCTCTGCCAGTTTTCACTTGAGCTTATAACTTGGGAGACATAAGGAAATAAAACATTGCTTACTCACGGCTACATCCCCCAACACTACATAATCCATCAACCTAGGAAATAAAAGGAATTTTGGTTTGGTTTTTAGAGGTTATATGCTTCAGTAATCATTTTTCCTATATTAAATAAAGGTGGAAAACAGCTCAGTTCACCCAAGGTGGTGTTAGGATCTCGAATATATGTGTGTATGTATGTATACATATATACATGTATATGTATGTATATACATATGTATTAAAAACACATTGGGAGATACTGATTTAGTTGTGTCAAATCTTTATTACCTCAGATATGTTTAAAAACAACTCTGGAGGCTACTTTACCATATTCATTCCCTAAAGATTTTCTAGGTGCCTGACAGGTTACCCTTGAGGGCCTTGTCTGCTTTCTAAAGGCAAAGTTTTTTTTGTGTTCTAGTTTCCATAGTAAAAGAGAGAATATATAAATATACAAATATATATATAGTTTTCTTTAGATCAGAAACTGATATTTTTGAGTCAGCCATATGTATTTTGTTTAAAAGGATTAAAAATAAAGAGCTGTCATGTGGCCCAGCTGAAGGGCTCATGTAAACCAGCTGTTTGATGGGACAGGTGACTTAGTATACCTTTGATGGGTTCTAAAGGCCAATTAACTACTTCCTTTCTCCAAACAGCCATCTTTGTACTTAAGAAAAAAGAAAAAAAAATTAGTTGGGTTCTAGAGATGTTTTTTATATAAATTATATTGATATGGCTGGTTGAGTAAGTTTAAACATTTGTGTGCATACTTTTTTATGTAAAATTGTTTTCTGTTTAGTTTCAGTGATACAACTGGCAACAGGTCAATGTGGCTTAAGTTATTCAAGAAAATTCCCTCCCTCCCTTCCCCCCCAAAAAGTAAAATGGTGCTTTAGACTTGAAATGGGTAGAGTAGGGTGGAAAGGGATGGGGAAGAGTGAGGTTTCCATTTTCGATTTCTCTCTAGATAGGTCATGAAGCATAAGGAGGGGGATTAGTCTGCTAATGGAAAGGGAAAACATTCAGCAAGAAGCCCTGTGCCAGATGGGAGATGGACTCCTACCCCCATGTAATCAATTGGATTGTCAGCTCTTCTCACAGAGTTTTCAGAAGTCAGGGGCCCCTTATTGGCTTTTGTTTTCTTGGAAGTAATTGGCAGATTGGTACCAAAGACATTTACATCTCTTCTAGTCTGCGAGGGTGATCTCTTTTAGAGTTTACAACTTCTGTAGTCTTTTCACTGTTTGTATATCTGGGTTTTAACATTAATACATAGCATGTAGAGAGGGTTTTTAACATGAGAATATGAATGTTTTCCCCCAGAAAGGTTTTGTGCTCAACAAGGAAGGAAATATCTACCCCAAACAGGAAAAACAAAAACTGGTTCTAGTCATGGTTGTCCGTCTCGGGGAACTGTCTAGACAGGACTCTCCCCTGTCCTCTATGACCCTCTTCCTCATTTAAGAATTGGAGATTCATCTCAGAACCTCTTGGGGGAGCTCGGTGGACTCCTTTTAACTTCAACTTTTTTCAGTTTCTTTCCCTCTATCCCCCCCGACCCAAGTCGAAGAAGGGAAAGTTTGTACAGTAGAATTTCAAACCACTAAAACCTAGAAAAGGCCTTGGCATGTGGAGCTCACATGTACCATGAGACCTCCTGCATGAGTCCTGTTTCCTACCAGTCAGTGGTGCCATTCCCAAATATCCTTGGTCCCACGCCCACCCCCTACGTCTTATGGGACATCTCACTGTAGCAAGAGGGGGTTACCTGTAAACCTTATCCTTCAATCATTCCAAGCTTCTTTCCCTTTTAATAGACCAAATCCCTTTATTTAGCTCACTACCATCCCTGTCTTAATTTTGCCCTTTGTCAGCCCTACCACACCATCTCCTCTTCCTAGGTGAAGTTTCCTAAGAGGAAGATGTATGAAGATGAGCTCAGGTCACCCTCCCATGACTAAATGGGCCTTGATAAACATTTTCCATATCTATACATATATATGCATATAGGTATTTTATATATATGACATATATATGTGTGTTTGCCAATGAATCTAACTCTTAGGTCTTTCTTTTGCAAGCAGCATGCAAATAGGAGTTCTGAGTTTCTTTTTTTTCCCCAGTAACTCATAGCAAGCACTGGTATTTTTGTATAAAAAGCAAAAAAAACAAAACAAAACAAAACAAGAGACTAAGTATTTGTGGTATGCATGACATAAAAAGTAAATGGTGGTTTCAAAGCAGTATGTACCCTGGTGTGTGTGGCCATATTCTGCAGTTCTGCTTAACAGTGCACCCAGTCTGTACCTGCATTCTGATATTATTTAAGCTCTATGTACAATGTTTTGCATGTATTTATATGGTTCTTGGGGAAAAAAATGGAATGAACTGTCAACACTTCTGGAAACATTGAAACTTAAACTTGTCAGTTTACTGAGATGAGAAGACTGAAAGAGAGGAGACATTTAAATAAGAAGAGATAATTTTATTTTATTTTTGGGGGAACCAATAATGCTTTTTGCTATTGAGCAGAAACAAATGCCGCTGTACACTGAGAATAAAAACCCCATGCCCACTTGTAACTGTTATGTCCTCAATGTGTCTCCACCAACGTCCCTGGTCATCTCCTGAAGCGGAGCTAGGCACATTGCCACAGCCTTTGGAATGACTCCTTCCCAGCAAATGAGTAGCTCCAAATCTACATGTCCCCAACCTAGACATCCTTTCCTCTCTTGATTTTTAACACTGATAGCTCAAACAACTTAATTTTCCTACATTGCTACCAAAGCTCAGCAGCTTCTGATGTGTGGCTCTCCCTCAATTAGGCCTGGGGGAAGGGGGTGGGGGGAGGGACTGGGGACTGCCCCTGGGGGTTGCTTAAAGTGGATGGATTTGGAGGGAGTAGGGACAAACCAGGCTTACCAAGCAAGCACATACATTTTCTTAGATTCTTTTTATTTTGGAGTTTCAAGGACACTTGACTACTGCTGGTTTCAAGGATTTCCACATCACTTTTCCCTTCCCTCCCTGCTATGCCCCCTGCAACTTTTCAAACCATAGCCCAGTATTGTTCAGGTTTTGTTCATTGCTCCATTTACTGGGATTTTATTTCTGTTCCCCAGACTTTCTTAGGCAGCCCATCTTCATGTGAGAGTAACTATTCTCTTCAAGCAGGGAAGCTCCCCAGCTTTCCCCTTCTCTTCTGTTCCTTCTCTCACTGCCTTAATTTTTTTTTTTTTTGACTGTAACTTAAAGAGAAGTTCACATCTCCCAATAGGCCCTCTCGGCAAGGGGATGATTTTGAAGAGCAATGTAAGTCTTGGTACTGATCCAGATAACACATCTGGAAATCCTAAACCTAGATCCTGGCTGTTAAGAAGGAACCAGTTTTAGAAGAGGCAGACTTGTCCAGGCTTCCTGGCCCCACTCCTCTCTTTAGGGTGCTCTGTTCGAAATAACTCGATTTTATAGACCATCAGCCCTGCCTAAGACAATGGTAAGGCCTTTAGCTACTCCACAGCACCTTAGAGGAAGCAGGTAAAAACTTTGGTTGCTCTGGCCACTCCTCTACCCAAATCTCATATCTCTGCCTCCAAATCCAAGGGGCTTCAGGGGGACTTGAAAAGTGCTGCTCCCCAGCTGGGCGGTAAGTAATGAGGATTCTCCAGACTCCACTTCTGAAGATTGTGAGCTACAGCTTAAAACAACAGACGGGCTTTGAGCCACTGCTTTTTCTCCCTATTAAATCTCATCTCTTTCTCTTGCGGTTCTTTGCAATTTTGACGCGTTCTCTGGTTCTCTGACCTGGTGCTAATGTGTCCCTGTATACACACCCTTCTCTTTCATCTCCTAGCCTCTTTTAGTAAGCCCTGCTGCTAGGGCAGAGACTCCACCCAGTCCCACATCTATTTCTGAGATATCAAAATGCAAAGCTAAACCAGGATCTTTGGATGAATATTTCTTCAGCCAGTATGGTAAAAGGTCCCTAAAAAGCAAAGTGCTTTCAACCTTCAGTCCTGCAGGAACCAGCTTGTCCTTTGGGAATTTAGTTAGTTAAGTAGGAAAGCCAGCCTGGGTAAGGACCCTGGCCAGGAGTCAAAGCTTGTCCCCTGTTTTACTGCAAGAGTGAAGGATACCATGTCCTTTTTGTGTAAAACATGTTTTAATCCTGTTATAAATAAAAATGTCACCATCTCTTTCTGTGGAGTCTTTGATGTCCAGTTGTGTCAGGCGTGAGCCAGAAAACAAACGTTTTCTGAGTCATGGCAGTTAGGTTGTCCGCCAAGTTTGTAGAAGGGAAAGGCTTTGGACTGACCAATGAAATTCTTTTGGGTCTTGCTCTTGGCTTGACCCAATGTTCTGTTTCTTCTCTGAGACTGTCTCCATCCCTCATTTCTCAAGCTGAGAGGGAAGAATTATTATAGAGGTGCTATATATCTGGAGAGGGGTGGGGTCCTCTCCATCTTTTTTCTCTGAGAAGTCGAAGGGCCTGAATCGGGGGGTGGGGAGCCTGCGGCCTCAAGGCCACATGTGGCAACATGGAGAGCCACGCCTGTGAGTCCCTGATCTCTGGGTGTTTCAGAAATCTGTGTCCCTTCTTTCTTTGGGAATTATCCTTGTCACTCTCTCTCTTTTCCCCTAAATACCATTTCTCTCCTCTGTGGTATGTTCTCTGTGAGTCCGCCATCCTGTATCTTCTCATAACATTGTCTGGGAATGGGGGTGGGGGACGTTTCCTATGTTTTCTGACTTCTGCTTCAAGATACTCAGCTAGGCTTGTGCCCATTGGAACTCTGATGGAGTCCACCTGGCTTAGGGTTGGGTTTTTTTGCTTTGTTTTCTAATTTGAGGTAATATTAAAGAAGGTGATCATTAAGTACCCTCTCAGTCCTCTAAGCCCCTCTTAGGGATTGGCTAAGCTAGATAAGAGGAGAGCAGCAAGGTGAATCACAGACTATGTTAAGTCCCTCTCCTCTCGGATCAAGGGTGAGGGCTTTGGTTTAAACACCATCCTACTCCAAGGCTCTTGCTTCTTAGAATCAGCCCGGTTGGTAAGGAATAAAGTTCTAGGTCAGATCTGCAAATAGGGTCCAATAGTGAAGTCGTATTTAATTCAGACATTTATTAAATGCCTACTGTGTACTACATATCTTATATCTGGGGATACAAGTATCACTCAGTAACCATTTTTTCAGTGCCTACTGTATATCAGGAACTGTGCTAAGCATTGGAGATTCAAATACAAAGAATGAAATAAATCTGAAAACTTACACATCTTTAGCTTCAAGGAGATCAATTCTAATGAAAAGGAGGGATAGGAAAGGTTTGTAAGTATGACACAAAGTAGACTGTGTAGCAAAGTACTACAAGAAATTTGAGGAGTTCAGGCCTCAGATGCTTGACACTCACTAGCTGTGTGACCCTGGGCAAGTCACTTAACCCCGATTGCCTCACCAAAAAGCAAAAACAAAAACAAAAGAAACTTGAGGAGAGAGAAAACATTCTTACTAGGTTGGTTCAGAATGGACTTTGTGAAGGAAATGCCATCTGAGTTGAGTCTTGGAGGAAATGAAGGACTTACATGATGGGCCAGTCATGCCTGGTATAGGCACTCAGGGCCTGATGGGTCAAGTCAACAACTCAATTTAATGAAAATATATCCAACAAGCCCCAGGTAAGAACAATCTTTGTTGTTCGGTCACATCCAGCTCTTTGTGACCCCACAGATCATGCTGTCCATAAGGTTCTCTTGGCAAAGACACTAGAGTGGTTTACCATTTCCTTCTCCAGTGAATTAAGACTGTCAAGTGTCTGAGGCCAGATTTGAACTCAGGTGTTCCTGACTCCGGGCCCAGCACTCTATCCACTGAGACACCTAGCTGCCTCCCAAAAGCAGACTAGCAAAGTAAAAGGCCACCAGCAAGAACATTAAAAGCAGTTGGCAAGGAAGTTCCCCGACTATTAGGCACTCACAGCTCAAATCCTTAAGCCTTTGAATACCCTCCTTGCCCAAAGAACCCATGGCAGTATCCCACAGATATATGCCTGGATGCAAAATTAACTCAAATGGCCCTCATACTGCTTCACAGAGTCCTGGCTTATAGCACAGATGGGCAGTGGTATGGGAGTATGAGGTTAACCCAAGGCTCTCCAGTTCCAATAGTGTCGTGGCCCCTGACAGATGAAAATTGGGGTGAGAGTCTCCTCCAACCACGAAGGACTGTATGAGAAAAGACACAGAGGGAGGAGGAGGAGGAGGTGGGGGAGGAGGAGAATGTAATCAGAAAGGATCTTCACCGGACCCAGACTGGAACCAGGTGGTGATCTCCTCATTGGCTTATCAGGAGCCAATATTTGCTAAGTTCCCATGGAAGTCAATGAATAAACATTTATTCTTACATTTACATACTATTACTATTACATAGTGGGTAAATATTCAGTAGACAGTCCCTGCCCTCAAAAAATTCACAGTCTAATGGGGGATACACTATGCAAACAACTATATATAAACAACATCTATACAATATAAACTGGGAATAATAAACAGAGGAAGTCAGACCCTCCTAAAGCTTATACCCCCAGGACTCAAGTTATTTATCTAGCACAATTCTGTAATACAGGTGCACCTCATTTGACACAACAGATATGCATTGTCATCATAGGATCCAGATTTATAGCCAAAAAGAAACTCAGAGGTCATCTAATCTAACCCCCTCATCTTAGAGATGAGGAAACTGGGGACCATGACTGTGAAGTGATTTGCCACAGGCAGCAAGTATAAAATATTATGTTCCTGAAAAACTATATACGAACCAAAATTTAAAAACGGAATCATGTTTTAAATGCATAAGCAGGTATTACAGTTAAAGGAATCTTAAAGCAATGGGGATTGTTTCCTCCCCTTTATTTATTGATTGTAAATCCAACTCCAACTATAAAATGAGTCTATGCTACCTTGCTTAAAGCAAGCTACGTTTGTGGTCTGAAATGATTTAGGAGAAGGGGACAGGGAACAGAAGAACCCAGTCTATAGCCTAACCCAGCAAAAATATAAACAATGGGGAAATATAGTTAAAACTAATTCTTTGTGTAGCCTCGGCCCCAACAGCATAGGGAGAGCAGAGACAATCTGTCAACAAGCATTTATTAGGCAGTATCTTCCTGAGTTCAAATCTGGCCTCAGATGCTTACTAGTTGTATGACCCTGGGCAAGTCACTTAATCCTGTTTGCCTCAGTTTCCTCATCAGTAAAATGAGCTGGAAAAGGAAATGACAAACCATTCCAGTATCTTTGCCAAGAACACTCCAAATGGGGTTATGAAGAGTTGAATACAACTAAAAAAAAAAACTGAACACAACAACCCACACGCAAACCACACATATGCAGTTAAGCAATTTTGCTAAAAGAGCAACTTGAAAGCAAAGTAGATTGAGATGGATATCAGTAAATATAAACATTCAATAAAATTTGGGTGAAGTCAAAACCCAGAGGGACCCAAAATAAGATCAAGATGTTTTGGGTGGATCCAGGTTGTGAGGGAGCCCAAAATTTATCGTAGCCATCTCGGATATTTCTGGAGAG